CTCGAGCATGTTCAAAACTAGACCAGACCAAGGGACGGGCATGTTAAAAACAAGAAAGAACCGTGGGTCGAGCATGTTGAAAACATGCCAAGACAGGAGGACGAGCATGTTGCGAGCATTCCTGGAGGATGGAACGGGCAGGTTGACAACGCGTCCGTTCCATGACTGACGCAGGGTTTCAACATGCTTGACCACCGGTCGAGGCAGATTTTCAACATGCTCGACTTGTTTTTCAGAAGAAAAAAAAATTGCAAACGAAATCTTACCTTTAGTCCGAGTCCCTGCATGTTATGACGATCGAGACCGACTACTTCTCTACCTCCGGCAAACTCGCCGGAATCCGGCAAAAATTTATCAATGTAGAAGATTGTAGTTGGATTTTGTGTTGTGTGGTTTGATTTTAATTTTTGGTTTGATATTTTTGTTTTGTGTTGGAAGAAAGAGTTAAATGGGTTGGGTTAGATGGTTGGAGCATTAATTCTAGGTGGTTGAACCATAAAATTAAATAAAAGGTTGTTTTGTAAAGTTGTATGGTTTAGGACGACGAAATTTAAAAATTTAGGGCGACGAATAGTAACTCTCCTTTTGTTCAGCTTCAATTCATTTCTGTATAACCATTTACTTCTTCTATGTTTCCCTGTCCTTTTTCCTTCTTCGTTCTTTAGCCCTTTTCACCTACCCCGATTTCATTCTCAATGAACGTCCCAATAACAAAACATAACCTTTGTACTTTATGACATTAAAAATTAAATTACCTTAATAGATTCATCTTAAAGAATGGTGCGTTGGATACCTTCTCTAATAACAGTAAAAGATTAGGTTTAGAAAAACTAATCAGCTCCAGTTGTACAAAATGATACATCTTCGTCTTGTTGGAGGAAGACAAATGGGAATTTTGAAACAAAACCCAACCTATGAAAGTAGAGATTCCAGTCGATCTATTCTGAAGAAACCATGCTGAAAACAGGCAATCCAATAACCAGAAGTTCACATACCACAGTTAACAGATCCCAAGGAAGCATGGGAAAAGATCCATTCTTGCTTTTTATGTTTCAAAGTGGTGCATAAGTATCAAATTATACACTCTGCCTTAGCAACAATATAAAAAACATATATCAAGGAAGACTTCAACTCAGACCACCTGTCAATTAGCAATTTTGAAGAACAAAACCTTGGACAAAATCACCATACTTAAGGGAAAAGCTTTGCTCTATTATATCGACAAATCCCCTAAGATCATACTGAAATTAAAAAACAATGAAGCCATGAAAAGAAATTATACCAGTTCTGAGAAGTGGGAAGTCCAAGCTTCTGTTCGGCATGAACACATAGATAAGCATCTTATCCTTTTCCGCGCAGAATCTCACCATCCTGACCAGACTCACATGCACTTCCATCCATCTCAATCAACTAAGATGAAAGTATAAGCAACATGCCAAATCCATTATGATTGCATAAGTTTTAATACGAAAGGAAGAAAAGGCAAGCATCAATGGTTACCTGCATGGGAGAGCTCAAGGTCCTAGTTACTGGCATTCCCCAACTGGAATGCAATAAAAGCAGTGAGTCTCATCTCCATGGTGTAAGAAGCTTCCACTCTAATCGCGTCCACCCCTTCGAATTTGATCTGAGTCAAAACCAGAGTGAAGCAATTCTCACGTATGTTGCATTATACTTCGCTAGACCTCCAAATCTGTAGTTCCACTACCCTTGCTGGTACATCATAGTAGATCGGCTACAAATTGTAGAAGCAAACCTAATGGGTAAACCATAAATCCCTTGCTACAAACAAAACCAAAGCATATAACCTATAATGCTAGCGACCATTATAAGCAGAATGTGTTTCTATATTGCTAGCGACCATTATAAACTATACTTCTAGCAAAACAAAAGAAAAGTGGAAATCACCAACATGAATCAAAATGTGCTTGCTTCAAATCTGAATCGCCACTACCCAGCCAGGTTGACGTTGGCTTTTCCTTCCCTATCATGCTTTCTTCATCACCGACAGCAAATGCATATCGAATGGCAAGCAGAAACCAAGTCATATGTGTTTATAGACCCCATAAGTTGACACTTGCAGCCAAATGCATGACATGCTTAAAATCAAGTCATATGTGTTTCTTTTCCTACTGAGTTCAAGAGTAAATGGTGTGAGATGGAGGATGGAAGTTGACCTTTTGATTCTGCAAGAAGTGGAGGCAATATGAAATAGTGCTTCTGTTAGATGATGAACCCGTTCCCGTTAATTTTGTAGCTGCCACCAAGAGGAAATAATGGAACTGTTAGTACAGAAACCAAAATCCTTGACCATCAGAAACTAATCAAACTCGAACTCTAAGTTCACCAATGAGCAAGGATAAATGAAATTCTAGATTTTCAAAACACCAAACGTTTTATAAATCATCAACAGAATGTAACCTTAACTCTAAACAAATGAGTCTGTGGAAGACCTTCTTCTAATTTGTGAACTACACTAAGGACAAGGTCCAGCAAAATGTTGTACTTCTCCACTCTGCCCTTCTTTGCCCTCTAATCACCCAGATCATCAACTCTTACTTGCGAACTTAGCATTAAGCGTTTGACCGGAAAAGTAAACTGAAACCACACATCCAAATCGATACAAATACCCCCCTCCAATTTCATCAGAAACCAATACAGTCTAGACCCAGTTCTCCAAAACTTAAGGGATAATCACATACAAAGGTAACAAAAGAAAGACCAATTATGAGTTTTAAGCTAATAAGAAAGAGGGGGAAAATCGATGGCCTGAGAATGATGGGGGCGCCCTCCACGGATGCGAGTAGCTGGAACGATTTGGAGCCATATTATGGACAGGCTGCAATAGGGAAGAGAGAATAAGTAGGGTTCGTGACGTCGGCAGTAGTTACTGTCGCAACCGCACCTCGAAATCGAGGTACCCGTCGCGAACGATCGGAGTCGCCATCGACCTTAATTTGTGGTGGGTCGAGCACCATTTGGTCCGGTTCCAACCTTAGGGTCAGAACCGAAATCTGGTCTGCGAAAATTTAGTTTATGGGTTCGGGAGTACGGTTACGTGTGGGGAAGTGTATTCACAGCCCACAACGCCCCAAATGGGTACTACTTAAATCGATAAGGGTTGGGTGTATTATTATTTGCGGCTTTATTAATGTATTTAATTTTATGATTTGATTAATTAGTTAGTTATTAATGATCATACGTCTATTGACGTAATTCTCAAAATTAAAGAAAGAGTTTTTGGTTAGTTGGACTCGAACCTATTGGTTGCCTACGTACCCGAGTAGTCGGGATCAAAGTCCACGTAGTTCGGTATAAAACTTTGATGATTTAGCAATTAATTTTAACCACGTTCCACCGATCATGGCTCTTGACTTTGATTCGTTTTAGGTGTAATTTTTATCGCTTTCCACTGAAAGTAATCTTCGCATTATAATTTTGTTAATGAGATTTAAATTTATATCTTGGAAGGATTTTAGTATTTGGGGAGGTAATTCGATGTATTAGACAAGAAACGAGATAAACTTAATCTGCATCTTAACATTTCGTATTAAGGATATTAAAAAATAAAATTAAATGGGAGGACTAAAATGACACATAAAAGGCCAGCAGCCCAACTGGCTGAGTTGGTATTATGTCAAGTTCTACCCGAGAATGTGGGTTCGAAACCCGCATCATCCATTTTTACCGATTTTCTTTTTGGTGCGGCTAAAGGGGGAAGGGCAGCTTGGTAAATGGCCAAAAACGCGGTGGCAAGGGAGTGTAATTAAAGCGAAACCCTAGGGGTAAAACCGTCATCTAGCCTCTCGAATTATATATTTATTTTTAACAAGAAATTCCTAAACCTAATCCATTCCAAACGAACGGCCGTTCACCCCTCTCCTTTTCTGATCTCTCGTTCTTCCTCTCTAAAAAAACGGAAGAGAAAACCCTCTCTGCTTCTTCCATCTTCCTCCCCTCTCATTCTCGATCTCTCTATCGCCACCTCGTTTTTTTTGGAAACGACGAGGGGAAAGGAAGAAGTGAACGGCGGCGGCGGCTGTAGAGCCGATGATGGTTCGAACGACGGCGACAAGAAGATCGACGCCGATGTTGATACTGGCGACGGCGACAGCGGAGGAGGTAAGGTTCTCTGCTTGTTTATTTTGCATGTCGGATTTAGGGGTTCGATTTGGTTGTTTAGGATTGTTTGGAGACTCGATCTTTTCAGGTTCAGGATTCTGACTGTGTTTGGTTATTTTTGCGGTTTTCGTTCTCGCGAGGGAAGAAGAAAAGGGATGCCTACTTGGTTCTCGACAGCGATGAGCTCGGTAGTGCTGGTATCGGGGAAAGGAGCCGAGGGATAAGAAGAAGGGTCGTCGGCGAGTTTCGGTGACACCGCCGACGACTGACACGATGGGTAGGTGTGGGTTAAATTTAGTTTCGACTTTGATTCTGGATTTTCGATGTTGTCTGGGTTTTGATTAATTTTCTTGTTTTCGTTTTTGCTGGTTTTGGGACGAAGAAAGGGGAAAATGGAGGCCGCCGGCGACTCTGAACCGTACCGACGGCGAAGGAGGATGGAAACAACAGGTAAATTTGTTTGGTTTAGGATTTGGTTGGTGGATTTGAATGCTGTAAATTCTTTCCTGGGGTTGAGCCTAAACATTTGGGCGTTTGACTGTGACTTGTAATTTTGAGTTCTATGGATGGTTTCGGTTTCAAAAAGGGTAGGGGGTTTAGGTTAGAGGGGAAGTCCTTCAAGTATTTCGAGTCTTAATTGGGTCGTGTATGTTAGTTTTTTTTTACTTACCATGTTTTGGATGTTAGTTTAATGTAACTAGAGATGGAAAATGCTAAACAAACTTAAACAATCAAAGCTAGAAAGGAAAGCAAATCTGATTTTTTTTTCATCACAATAAACTAAACATGACAAATCGTAAATAAGTGATGAAATTAATCATAGATTTATCTTTTCATTGATTAAGGTTATTATCACCATCTTATGATTTGCTTGGAGTATTGGTTTGGATTCCTCTTTTAAACGCAAATCAGTCAGCTTGAAGTTGCTTGGAATGGATCAATTTTTGCTTAAAAAGGTTTCCTTGGATGTATGAATGGTTGTGAGATGACGGTGGAAGAAGTAGATGTACCCACCTTTTTTACTTGATGTCCGATGAAGGTGCTGTTCTGTTGCTTTCCTTTCCCTTTTAGCCTGCTAGACTTTCCGTTTGCAGTTTTCTTTTTGTTGTTTGTGTTTGTTCGTTTTCTATGTTATGTTGGTGTATCTAAGAGGAAGAAGAGCAAAGTAAGGAGATTTTTTCAGAGCTTGTGTTGTTGTGTTTAGGTAGACGAAGAGAAGAACAAGAAGAAGAAGTGTTGTTTGTCTGTGTTTGTAGGAAGAGCTGAAAGAGGAAAAACCAACAGAGAAGAGAAGAAGAAGTGTTGTTTGTGTAAGAAGAAGAGGGATGATGAAGAAGAAAATAGTTTTTTGGCAAGAAGTTTGGAAGAGAAGAAGAGAAGCCCTTTTGTTGTTGTTTTATTTTGTGTTGTGTATTTGAGGGTAGCAGTTTGGGAATGGTCAATAGATGAAGAAGAAGAAGAAGAAGAGAGCCTGTGGGAGCGATGAGAAGGAGAAGAAACCCTCCAAAAACACCTCCCTCATGTAAGAGCAAAGGAGCTCTTTTTATAGGAAAAGGGGCTTGTTCCCCAAGTTTGCAACAGTACCGGTATGGTTTTGGGTTGAACCGGTCTGGTTGTGTCAGAGCTGACCAGATTGACTTTGTCGACTTATTGGACTTTTGTTGTAGGCTTTGACTTCGCCAATTTTAATGTTTTTATTTTGTATAATTGTAATGACATCTGTAATTGTGATTTATTTTAATAAAATACTAGTCCTTGCCCTTAATTCGACTTATCTGTTATTGTTTTGAAATCAAAGTCCAATTTTTCCATGAATCAATATTTTAAGGATCAATTCAATGGTCAACTCACATTATCGTCAAGTGGTTAATAAATTGAAAAAATTGAGATTTGTTATTGCTAAACTCATTGATCATAATTGTACAAAATGAGATTTGCTATTGCTAATCTCATTAAGTTATGAAAAATATGACATGTTACAACCATTGTATATACGTTTTAGCTATAAGGTAATTTAAGATTCACTATTGTAAATCTTAAACAAAAATAAAATTTTGTTTAATTGGATATTTTAACCCGGACAAAAACTGGTGTCTACAGTTGCCCCCCTTTGTATATCTTTTAGTTTTTAAGAGGTATACAAAGTTATCATAGCACACCATTTTGACCGGTTTACTAATATTGTGACGGTTTAGAGTTTGGTCTATTGACCAACTCACCAAGAGCATTATGAACATTGAGTTCATTGATCAGTTCCCACTCTGTGTTGCCAAAATAGGGCGCTGATTAGTTTGTAGTGTAGTTATCCTTTGCGGTGTAGCCGCCTGCCGCAGTGTAGTCGACCTGTGGGTCTATTTCGTATCCCTCGCAGTGTAGCCTTCTTACGGGTCCCGATTGGTTTCCCTTGCAGTGTAGCCTTCTTATGGGTCCTAATTAGTTCCCTCGCAGTGTAGCCTTCTTGTGGGTACTAATTGGTTTCCCTCATAGTGTAGCCTTCTTTGCAATGTAGCTTTCTTATGGGTCCTGATTAGCTCCCTCGCAGTGTAGCCAACTTGTGGGTGCTGATTGGTTTCCCTCGCAATGTAGCTTTCTTCGCAGTGTAGCCTTCTTATGGGCCCTGATTAGCTCCCTTGCAGTGTAGCCTACTTGTGAGTACTAATTGGTTTCCCTCGCAATGTAGCCTTCTAGTGGGTTCTAACTTGTTCCCCTTGCATTGTAGTCGTGTAGGGGTTACTGATTATAACGGTAATGACAATGCAATCAAGTTGTTTGGGATAAAACGAGCTAAACAAGTTGAAAGGTGATATAAAAGAGCATTCAAGTTGTTCGAAGTATACCATGCTAAACAAATTGAATTATGATGCAATCAAATTGTTCGAGGTATTACATGCTGAACATATATTGATGGCATAACTAACGGGGTTGTCTGGGATAATGCAATCGAGTTGTTCGGGATATGACATGATGAACATTTATTGATGCAAGGCCATGGGGTTGTCCGGGATATGACATGCTAGACATATGACAAGCTGAACATTTATTGATGGCAAAGCTCTGGGATTGTCCGGGATATGACATGCTAGACATCTTAGATAATGCAATCAAGTTGTTCGGGGTATGAGTTATGACCTGCTAAACATTTATTGATGGCAATGCTGTCAAGTTGTTCGGGATATGACAGGCTGAACATTTGTTGATGGCAATGCGATAGATTGTCCGGGACATGACATGCTAGACATTTTAATGCATGGTGATAATGAGTATGAGTATTTTGTGAGATAATCATGAGATGATAATGTCGTGTTATGAAAGATATGTGAGGGGGAGAGTGTGATACAACAATGATTTGGGTTTGTTTGCTCTTGTGGTAGTATAGATTGGTTTAGAGTTTCTGGTCCCATGGTGGTATAGCTTGATTTTGGGATTTTATCCATGGCGGTATAGCCTAGTTTTTTCTGGTGGCGGATAGCCTGGTATGAATTTTTCTTTGTGGCGCTAGCCTGATTTGGGTTACTGTGTGGCGGCATAGCCTGTGTTGGTAGAGATTTGTATTTGGCTTCACATTGATGGGCAAATGCAAGGTATTTTGTGATATGATACGATATGATATGATTTGCTGAGGTATGTCGAGGGAAGGTATGCCCACCGATTCATATCTAATTTGGCTTGGAATTTCTAGTAAGTAGTCATCTAATGAATGATGTCATGTTAAGTTTGACGCGTATTTGGACAAATTGTTGATGTCATATGATATGAGTTGAAGTGCATTTGAAAAAGTTTGTATGAAGAGTCATATGATGATGTATTGAAGGATATGCAACGTAAAGAGTATAATCCCTAATCATGGTTTTGATATTTTGTCAAGGATTTTCTTAAATTGATCATCCACGAGGAACTACGCCATTATCCCTTTTGTAAGCTTGATCTTTAGTTGTGCTTGCACTGGAGTAGAATGGATGTCGTTGGTGGGTACTTTTCTTCCTTCTCCACCTTGGACACTAGTGTTTGAGTGGCTGATGTGTTTGCCAAATGACCTTCTTATTCATGAGATGTGTTTGTTATGTTGATTATGTAGGAGGATTATGTAGCATGGTGGTGTAGGGATAATGTGCTCCTTTATTTTGATTGATCTTCTTACTATGAGAGAATGTCATGTTTAGGTAAGAGAATTTGTCACCTCAGGGTATTGTCTTGTTGATGTCGATTTTCTAGACATGCTTGATTGACTTCACCGGGAGGTATGAGGTACAAAAACTTCGTTGAAGGATAGTTTGATTGACTGCTTGAGTAGCTTGAATATAATGATTCAAGATCTCTGAGAATTCCTAAGTTGAAGAAGAGAGCCACTTTTTTCCTGGGTGGCACCATTTTGCCCTCGAGAATACGTTATTTGCCTTTGCTTCTTCAGAACAAAGTGTGACTTTTACCAACCTTAATCTAAGATGAGTGCAACAATGTTTGAAAAATATTTTTGAGAAAGTAGAATGAGAACTTGATGTGAAAATCAAAGCCTTATCGGGGGAAATGTGTGGAATTTGCAATAAATTGATTATTGACACATTGTTTAAAAATTTGCATAAGTCAAGCCATGAGAATATTCATAAATCCGCACTTTCGTTCTCACGCTCAAATTCGCTCACACTCATTCCTATGGGTGCTTCGAGTATACGACACTTTGGCTACTATCAAGATTCTTGTCACCAAGTTGATGGACAAATGTGTCGGAGGTATAAGTTGATGATCATGGAGATTCCATGTAATCTCTGTATGGTCTCGTCATGTGAGTTCTGGAACTTTTCTGGAAAGTGATTCTTGTACGGTATGACTCCAACTGTAAGAGTTCTCATGGTATGGAAATTATGCTTGTCGCAAATGAGAGGTTGGTAAAGGAAGATCCTATGATATGGCCTTAGTCATAGGCAGCTTCATTTTGAGGATTTTTTGCTTTCCCCCAAGGTATGAATCTGGTTGATATATAATGGGGATCGTCTTTTCTTGTCGTGAGAAGTTCCATGTGGAGGGATGTTTGGCTTTCCCCAAAGTATGAGACTGATTGATGGATATGCGAGATAATTTCTTGGCAAAAAGTCCATTGTTGAGGAATTTTTGGCTTGCCCCAAAGTATGAGACTGATTGATGGGTAAATGAAATCTTTGTTGTGGAGCTCTCATTTTTTCCGAGAAGGGTGGCTCGTCTTGGGTATCCTTGCGGGTATATTTTGGCTTAGGTTGCCCCCTTGTCTTGAAATTTTGATTTTGAGGGATAAGCTCGACTAGGTAATTTGAGTAGAAATTTGATCCTGGAAATCTTGTCACTTGTCGGGCCCTTTTTTTTACCTTGAAAGGATGGATGATAAAGGTCTTGGTATGATACAAGCTTTGACTTCTCATTGGTTGTCAAAATAATGAATGTGTAAAACCCTTCTGTGGTGCAGGCATGGCTATTGAGGTATTATTATAATGGTGGTTTTTGTTTATCTCGAAAGGGAGAGTTCAAGTGATGGAAAATGAGGATAATCATGGAGTGGATTTTAGATCAGGCATACATTCTTCTCTTGGGTGCCCCATCTTTTTCGAGTTTACTTGTGTCATTTCTCCAGGGTTGGCAGACGAATACTCTCCATTTGGATAGGTTATTAGTTTGATGACTAGACCTCGCAAGAGTGTGTAGACAAGTTGGTTGAGAGAATGACTCTACATCTCTTTTGTGACCATGTTGACGGTAGACTCGAAATCATCCTTTTGGCATTTTAGAAAAGGTAGTCAATAACATTCAATCGTGACTAGTTTTATGACTCAAGCTCTCATGCAGGGGTATCTAACGTGTAAGTCCCACGAGCTTTTTCTGTCTTCCTTTTTATTTTGATTTTTTCGTTGTCTTTTTGGCTTTTTGGGTTTTTTTTTTTTTGCTTTTGCTCTTTTTTTGTGTGGGACTTACTTGACTTTGTAATTTCCCCTACATGGTGTCATTTTGACGCTTTTGATTTTGAGCACCAACGAGTTCATCAAATAGGATCATTCAGCTTTCCCAACCTTCTAACCATGAGGATTCTGTGAGAAACTTGAGAATTTTGATACAATGATTAGGCTAACTCAACCCCCTTTCTAGTCGAGCCCCTATTTGATAGAGATGTTTGAAATGGCAGTGACAGGCCTCTACAAATAGCCTGATGTCGTATCCTCGTTACACCCTTTGACTATTTAGCTTACGTTACTTATGGACACCAGTGGGGTGTTTATACTCTCAAGTTTAGTGGGGGTGCTCAAACTCTCGACACCGGTAGGGTGTGCACACTCTGCTGCAAAAATTATTGATATCGACTAAGTATTTATAAATCACTCGACACCAGTGGGGTGCTTATATTGGCTTAATATGAAAATCTCATGGCTTAACTTGAGACCAAGTTGATCTTAAAGTTTTTTTTTTTTTTTTGGAAAGATGTCCATCATTTTATAAAGAGAAGGAATCATTTATGCAAACTTCTAAATCAAAATTGGTAGTAGTCACACAATGTCCCAAATCGGTGGAAATGCAAATTACATTCTATTCTGTATGAAGGAGATTGTTTGATACATAAGGTAATACGCATTCATGCTCATTTGCTCGTGAGGATTGACATCATTATTGAATAGAGCTTCGTCTTGCAGCGTGCCAACTAATCCACATGAGTGGTCAATGGGTCATTGTCGATGTATGGACGATTGGCTTCTTCTTTGAATTTTCGACAAACTTCTCGTGAACATGGCAACTTGTCATTTCATTTCTTAATATATGGTTGACCTTCTTTTGGTGTCATCAAATTGCTTCTAGAATGAACTCCGTAACGAGCACAACCTTGGAACTTGTACTCAAAGGTTGACTTTATCCTTGTGAATGAGCAACTTTAGAGAATCCTTGACTTATCATGGTTAAATTGTGACATGTTGCTAACTGAGATGAGTGAATGATTGTCATGCTAAATGAGATGAATGTAGGATACTCGTGTTAAATGGTACGATTGTGCGTATGAAAGATGATTTTTTTGTGGATGCAAGAATGTTTGAACATTTACCATCATGATTGGTTTTAAACGAGTGAACAACGAACTAACGAAAGAATGCTAGTGTCACGGATTTTGATAAACTTTTGCATAGCATCTAACCACGACATTCATGTATAACCGACGAATCATAATTCGTTACATCATAAACAAACATGAATCATAAACACGTCATCATATTCAAACCAACTTAGGGTTTTAAGCGGTTTAGCAACAAGGTCTAAGGTAGGTTTCAGGATAAGTTGCGGTTTAGGTAGTTTCTAGGTAAACTATATGCTCGATAGGGATCTTAAGGAATAAGTCTCCCAAGTTGTACCACACTATCACCCTTTCGAGCTTTAGCATGATACCCCAAATCATCCTCGGATTTGAGTTCAACCTGGTTGGGAAGTTTTCGCATTTCCCCTATTATTGTAGGAGTCACACTACTTTCTTCCTTTTTTGCTATAAGGACCGCTCGGGAATAGAGCTTTATGCATGGATGCAAAAAATTGAAATACATAACAAATTTAAAGCGCAAATTGATGTAATAAACACATAACACCCATTATAAGAAAGTAGGAAAAAACTTATCGACGATTAATGTAGTTTGACTCTAGTATGTTCCCCAGCGGAGTCGCCACTGTCGCAACCGCACCTCGAAATCGAGGTACCCGTCGCGAACGATCGGAGTCGCCATCGACCTTAATTTGTGGTGGGTCGAGCACCATTTGGTCCGGTTCCAACCTTAGGGTCAGAACCGAAATCTGGTCTGCGAAAATTTAGTTTATGGGTTCGGGAGTACGGTTACGTGTGGGGAAGTGTATTCACAGCCCACAACGCCCCAAATGGGTACTACTTAAATCGATAAGGGTTGGGTGTATTATTATTTGCGGCTTTATTAATGTATTTAATTTTATGATTTGATTAATTAGTTAGTTATTAATGATCATACGTCTATTGACGTAATTCTCAAAATTAAAGAAAGAGTTTTTGGTTAGTTGGACTCGAACCTATTGGTTGCCTACGTACCCGAGTAGTCGGGATCAAAGTCCACGTAGTTCGGTATAAAACTTTGATGATTTAGCAAGTAATTTTAACCACGTTCCACCGATCATGGCTCTTGACTTTGATTCGTTTTAGGTGTAATTTTTATCGCTTTCCACTGAAAGTAATCTTCGCATTATAATTTTGTTAATGAGATTTAAATTTATATCTTGGAAGGATTTTAGTATTTGGGGAGGTAATTCGATGTATTAGACAAGAAACGAGATAAACTTAATCTGCATCTTAACATTTCGTATTAAGGATATTAAAAAATAAAATTAAATGGGAGGACTAAAATGACACATAAAAGGCCAGCAGCCCAACTGGCTGAGTTGGTATTATGTCAAGTTCTACCCGAGAATGTGGGTTCGAAACCCGCATCATCCATTTTTACCGATTTTCTTTTTGGTGCGGCTAAAGGGGGAAGGGCAGCTTGGTAAATGGCCAAAAACGCGGTGGCAAGGGAGTGTAATTAAAGCGAAACCCTAGGGGTAAAACCGTCATCTAGCCTCTCGAATTATATATTTATTTTTAACAAGAAATTCCTAAACCTAATCCATTCCAAACGAACGGCCGTTCACCCCTCTCCTTTTCTGATCTCTCGTTCTTCCTCTCTAAAAAAACGGAAGAGAAAACCCTCTCTGCTTCTTCCATCTTCCTCCCCTCTCATTCTCGATCTCTCTATCGCCACCTCGTTTTTTTTGGAAACGACGAGGGGAAAGGAAGAAGTGAACGGCGGCGGCGGCTGTAGAGCCGATGATGGTTCGAACGACGGCGACAAGAAGATCGACGCCGATGTTGATACTGGCGACGGCGACAGCGGAGGAGGTAAGGTTCTCTGCTTGTTTATTTTGCATGTCGGATTTAGGGGTTCGATTTGGTTGTTTAGGATTGTTTGGAGACTCGATCTTTTCAGGTTCAGGATTCTGACTGTGTTTGGTTATTTTTGCGGTTTTCGTTCTCGCGAGGGAAGAAGAAAAGGGATGCCTACTTGGTTCTCGACAGCGATGAGCTCGGTAGTGCTGGTATCGGGGAAAGGAGCCGAGGGATAAGAAGAAGGGTCGTCGGCGAGTTTCGGTGACACCGCCGACGACTGACACGATGGGTAGGTGTGGGTTAAATTTAGTTTCGACTTTGATTCTGGATTTTCGATGTTGTCTGGGTTTTGATTAATTTTCTTGTTTTCGTTTTTGCTGGTTTTGGGACGAAGAAAGGGGAAAATGGAGGCCGCCGGCGACTCTGAACCGTACCGACGGCGAAGGAGGATGGAAACAACAGGTAAATTTGTTTGGTTTAGGATTTGGTTGGTGGATTTGAATGCTGTAAATTCTTTCCTGGGGTTGAGCCTAAACATTTGGGCGTTTGACTGTGACTTGTAATTTTGAGTTCTATGGATGGTTTCGGTTTCAAAAAGGGTAGGGGGTTTAGGTTAGAGGGGAAGTCCTTCAAGTATTTCGAGTCTTAATTGGGTCGTGTATGTTAGTTTTTTTTTACTTACCATGTTTTGGATGTTAGTTTAATGTAACTAGAGATGGAAAATGCTAAACAAACTTAAACAATCAAAGCTAGAAAGGAAAGCAAATCTGATTTTTTTTTCATCACAATAAACTAAACATGACAAATCGTAAATAAGTGATGAAATTAATCATAGATTTATCTTTTCATTGATTAAGGTTATTATCACCATCTTATGATTTGCTTGGAGTATTGGTTTGGATTCCTCTTTTAAACGCAAATCAGTCAGCTTGAAGTTGCTTGGAATGGATCAATTTTTGCTTAAAAAGGTTTCCTTGGATGTATGAATGGTTGTGAGATGACGGTGGAAGAAGTAGATGTACCCACCTTTTTTACTTGATGTCCGATGAAGGTGCTGTTCTGTTGCTTTCCTTTCCCTTTTAGCCTGCTAGACTTTCCGTTTGCAGTTTTCTTTTTGTTGTTTGTGTTTGTTCGTTTTCTATGTTATGTTGGTGTATCTAAGAGGAAGAAGAGCAAAGTAAGGAGATTTTTTCAGAGCTTGTGTTGTTGTGTTTAGGTAGACGAAGAGAAGAACAAGAAGAAGAAGTGTTGTTTGTCTGTGTTTGTAGGAAGAGCTGAAAGAGGAAAAACCAACAGAGAAGAGAAGAAGAAGTGTTGTTTGTGTAAGAAGAAGAGGGATGATGAAGAAGAAAATAGTTTTTTGGCAAGAAGTTTGGAAGAGAAGAAGAGAAGCCCTTTTGTTGTTGTTTTATTTTGTGTTGTGTATTTGAGGGTAGCAGTTTGGGAATGGTCAATAGATGAAGAAGAAGAAGAAGAAGAGAGCCTGTGGGAGCGATGAGAAGGAGAAGAAACCCTCCAAAAACACCTCCCTCATGTAAGAGCAAAGGAGCTCTTTTTATAGGAAAAGGGGCTTGTTCCCCAAGTTTGCAACAGTACCGGTATGGTTTTGGGTTGAACCGGTCTGGTTGTGTTAGAGCTGACCAGATTGACTTTGTCGACTTATTGGACTTTTGTTGTAGGCTTTGACTTCGCCAATTTTAATGTTTTTATTTTGTATAATTGTAATGACATCTGTAATTGTGATTTATTTTAATAAAATACTAGTCCTTGCCCTTAATTCGACTTATCTGTTATTGTTTTGAAATCAAAGTCCAATTTTTCCATGAATCAATATTTTAAGGATCAATTCAATGGTCAACTCACATTATCGTCAAGTGGTTAATAAATTGAAAAAATTGAGATTTGTTATTGCTAAACTCATTGATCATAATTGTACAAAATGAGATTTGCTATTGCTAATCTCATTAAGTTATGAAAAATATGACATGTTACAACCATTGTATATACGTTTTAGCTATAAGGTAATTTAAGATTCACTATTGTAAATCTTAAACAAAAATAAAATTTTGTTTAATTGGATATTTTAACCCGGACAAAAACTGGTGTCTACAGTTACCATCAATATCCTCTCGGTGGTTTTGTTTCTTCTGTCCGTATGTCGACATCGTTATTCTTGTCCGACATTTGTACACTGTCTGCTGCAGCAATCGATAGAAAAGATAGCAGTGAATCTCTGGAGGTAATCTGGAACCTGCGATGAAGGTAGGTTGGCTGCCGGAGATGAAAGTCACACTCGTCAATAACCTCTCCGCCGCCGAGATCGTCCGCTGTACTCCCGATCGCGATCTCCCGACTCCCAAGGACTTCCGTCAGCGAGTGGGGTCGTCGATTTCCTTATAATTAGGGATTTTGATTTGTTTAAAATCGGGAACGGGAGGAGATTTCTGATGCGAGAAACTGAATGGAATAGGAAGGAGGTTTCTGCAAAACAATAAGGTAGAGGAAGAACGAAGGAGTATTCTGATGCAAGAAAGTGAAAGGAATAGGAAGGAGATTTCTGAAAAACAAAAGGTGGAGGAAGAACGGCGGTTGCAATTTTACTTCTCACTCCTAAACGCGGGATTTTTACATTAATCCCGCCGAAATGCTCTGTCACGTCAGCCTCCTACATTCACTCTACGGGCAGGAAAATTTGAATGGGCTTGCAGTTTTACTTTTGGGCTATAAATGATACCGTTGATATGGTATAGAGTTTTGTGTATTTTTTTCCATTTCAAATTTCCTGCAACGAGAGTGAAAGTAGGAAGGTCATTTTTGTCTTTACACATTTATTATTTATTTCATATAAAAATAGCAATATCAAGATTTGAACCCGGGTCTCTTCAAACAAAGATAACAATCACAACCAGTTACACTAAACAAATTTATTGCATCGTTTTTTATACAAAAAATAGACAAAGTTAATCTCTAAGAATCAGAGGACTTTTTCATCATAATTAGCAAGCTCACTAAGTCTACCGTATGTATTTTTATCGAGCTTGATACTTCTATTTTCATAGTAGAGTTTCATGTAATTTTCTCAATTTTAAATTCCCGCTCTCTCCTTAATTTTTGCTAAAGGTAAATGGGTAATTGACTAACATGGAAGAAACTAATTATGTAACTACGTGTTGTAGTATCCTTGCATTTTTCAATTAAATTTAAATTTTGTGTTTTTTTTTTTATCTTTGTTCTTTTCTTTCTAACTTCCTCCGAAATTTCATCCATCGTGCAATAGTTTGCGCCTTTCACTTCCCAGTACAAGACTGTCATTGAAAATCAATCTTCACGTATCTCTTGTCACTACGGTTTTATTGTTGGGGATTTTAAGCTGGGCGAGTAGAAGATTTCAACTCCGATATCAATTCATGGCGAATAGAATGGAGTTCATCGATAACTGAAGTTGTAGAAGGAGGATTAGAAAGTGAATTTTTGGTTGAATATATGCCTCTTGAGATAGAAATTTGGTTGTACAACGGAGAGCTGTGGCTATTGGATCTTTAGGTTTATGGTTTTTGCAATTGTCACAACCTATTTCTATCTTAAAACGAGGAATTATTGATTGATTGTTTGAAATAGGTCGCTTCTTTATTCAACCTACTGGAACTAATAGATAAGGAGTGTCTAATTTTGCGCCTTATTACTTTGATCGAGTCTATTCGTATATTGGAGTAACCCTGATTTTTTCGTTTGCTCTCAAGTTGTGATGGTCCCCTCTTAGCTGAGTTTTTAGTATATAGATGACTTGAATCAACAACTCTCCATTTCTTTTTGATTAGTGACATATTGTTTCTAAAAGGAGAGCATTGAACCCTTTATATAGGATTGTGAGGTTTAAGATTTAGTTTCAAACTATCTATGGTTGTGTGAGAATTTCAGTGAGCTTTTATACTCTATATTTCTTGACTGTGAAAAAAAAAACTAACCAATAGCATTTTAACAGGGACTTAATTAACATTATGAAAATGGGGTCAATGATACATTTTTATATTTTATATTCTTAAATGATTATGATATTTCTCCGAATGTTCGACCTATATATTATTTTTTTATGTATCATCTCGATCGAATGATTATCAATAAGATTAAACGGGTTAATAGACTTAAAAGTAACGTAAAAATACAAATAATCAAATATGAGCATTCCGGCCAAAGGGCCGGGTTATAAGCTAGTGGGGAAAATGGTGGACGATTTTTGCTTTCCATCCTAATTCTAAATTGTGTGTCGAAATTGGGCCCAGGCCATCTAGAATTTGAAGCCTACGTAGCTTTCCCAACGGGTTACCCAAGCTAGTCCAGACCGTTTCTGTTTTGACTAACAGGCCCAGACCATCAAGAAAATGAAGCCCCAAATATGGCATTTATCCATTCTCAGCAGAGATTAATCTCGATTACTTTCTTTGTTAATTGTTATTGTTAGCCAAGAGAAATTTTACAATGCTATATAGTATTGGTGCTATAGGATTTTGCCTTTATGGTACAACTTAAAATTGTACATTTATGTTATGGTACAACTTTAGATTGTACCTATACTTTTTGTACAAATTTTTTTATGGTACAACTTGAATTTGTACATTTATGTGATGGTACAACTTCAAGTTGTAAAGTTGTACCATAACATAATGGTACAAATTGCTTTATGGTACAACCTAAACTTATACATTTAATGTTATGGTACAACTTTAAGTTGTACATTAAAGCACCAATACTATATAGCATAGTAGAAGGGCTCGTTAGCCAAAATCACTGAGTCATGACATAGATTCATTAATTAACAACTTTCTTAGAGTTCTACTAGTGCTTATGATCCATTTGTGGTCTAGTGTATAAAGAGGATTGTATGTCGAAACAAACCCAAAATTTACATTAATCTAGATTCCTTGAGTGAAAGTAACACGCCAGCTCATGCAAGTCTTGATCCTAGGCATTAACCGAAAATCGTTTGCCTCTCGCAAGAAAGTCGTAGTAACAGATAGATTCGAGCTAGAAAGTAAATCCAGCTTAGCAAACTTCTTATTGTTGGGAAGTTACTATGAGTTTTTATAGATTTGCCTGTAATAAAAGATAGAAATGCTCCAACCTTACATTCACTTCATTTATTAACCAAACATTCACTGGAAATTGAGTTCATACTCATAGTAACACCTAATTATGTCTAGAAGCCGGTTCTTCACCAGAGGATCCTGAGGAAAGCGATTGACAACTCTTAGCATGATACACTATTGGACACCAAGATCGAGGACTTGAATCCCTTCGACCGCTGTTGTTCGGGCAATTCATCATGGATCTTCTTGGGTACCTGCAGAGAACATCGCTTGTGAGTTTATGACGGATTGAAGACATCCAAACCGCCACATACAAGCACAAGCACATTGAAACCACCATATGAATCACTTTCATATGATAAATAATGACAGCAGGACTCTTGCGTTGCTCCTTCAACACAATCAGAAACCAAGACAAAGTGGTTACCATTTGGTAAGAACTCGATATTTGGCTCTGTATCTGGTGATCCTTTAAGAAAGTAAGTGGCCACTTTGTAAGGTATGGTGCTGGATTGCACATTCAGATACTTCAGTCTAGTAAAGGGAGACGGTAGATGTTCCAGATTGTTGAACTTACTCACTTCCTACACAAACAGAATTCTTAACTTAAAATCGTAATGTAAACAACAAGAAACTAGTTACACTATGCAACACACAGAAACCCAAAAGCATATACCTGGATGGTTTTTGAATCCAGCGTCAGAGATTTTGCATTGTGCAAACCAAAGAACAAGGCAATTAAATATAGGTCCGCAGTTCTGTTCATCCGAATATCAGCATAATCGAGTGACGGAAGGCTCAACTCTGAGAACCCAAGAGGGACCATTGCATCGTCAAGAGTGAAGAATTTCAGACATGGTGCAGATACATCAATCTTGGTAAAAAAGCATCCTGTTAGTTTCAAGCTGAGCAAGCGGACCCCGGATATCTTTATACTCTGATGGTCTGGACGAAGAATGGGGCCTCGGCAGGCACTCAAGACCAAATTCTCCAGACAGGGAAAGTTAGGAACACATACGAGATCCTCCTCAGAATGCAGAAAGCAAACGTGCAAATGCAGAGTTGTCATCGACTGAAAAACAGAAGATCCAAATCCAACGCGGTCGAGGAATGCATATGTTAATTCTAGAGTCTTGAGGTTGCAATTCAAGCCTGAGCTAAACAAACAACTCTCCTGGATCCACCAAGGCCTCTCCATAACGACCACCAAATGTTGAGCATTATGGGCGAGGGCATATTCTACAACCCTCGGGAACCTCCAATGCTTATTATGTTCTTCATCATTCAGAACCACTTTGTCGATGAAGCTGACCTTACAGAGATTGAGGGGATATCGAAGAGACAAAACCTTGTCCACAAAGCTAACGAAACTCCCATATTCCTCAAACGAAAGGCTAACGAAATCGAGAACAGGGACATGTCTCCAAGTGCATCTCCACGCATGGGACAATACAGAGGTTTGAACAGCGGATTTGGTGTCTAGAAATGAAAGAATGTGATGGAGAATGGGTTCTGGAAGGTGGCTTAACCTGTCATTAGCAGTAGAAGTATCATCTTCTTCTTGAAGACGCATTTTCCCAGCTGTTTCCCTTTCCCCTAACTTGCAGCTGCTGCTCATAGGCCTGTGCTGGTAGTGGTACTGGTGTCAAACTACAGAAAATTTCCCAAAGCTAGGGTGAGAGCGAGAAAATCGCAACGACAAGGGGAACAAGAGGCGCTACTAATCTACCTTTTTTCGATTTTTTTCAGAGAGCCTTGGTGCTGGATGCCGCGCCGTCAAGAGATTTGCGATTGATCATCTCCACAGCTGCCTATGGAAACTGGCCGTAGTCGGACGGCGGACGCGTAAGGTTGGAAGATGGAATAATACTAGGATGGCTAGAAAGCTATGGAGATCTGATTTTGAGCCTACGGACCCCGGTCTGTCATTCTGGCTTTTGTATGACAATATGGGTATAGCTCAAACTCGGTTAATGTAAGTATCAGATATGGGCGTCTTTTTAGCGTCCCATTTTTCGACAAAAAAAAAAAAGTATTTGATTAGTTCTAATCAAAATCACTAATAAAATTAATCTGATTAATGCCCTGTAAGGAACTTTTCGTGAAATGAAAGGATGTGATGAATAATGAAGTATGGGAGATAACTTAACTAGGGTTGCAAATGAGTCGAGCTAAACTGAATTTTATCCCAGTTTGAGCCTGAGCCATTTATTAACGAGCCGAATTGAGCCGAGTTCGAGCTAGACTTGTTTACTAAATTCTTAAATCGTATTTGATACATTCATTTTGTATGTCGTGTATGATACATGTGATTGATGTAACGATAAAAGAATATTCAAATGTTCAACATTAATTAATCTTATATTATAACTTGTAGGTGTCATTGTTTAGTTAAGAAATTTTAACTAGTTCAAATCATGTTATTTCATAGTATCGAAACAATTTTGTACATAATTTCTTTATAGAATTAAAAATACGGCATATTTTCTTACATGTTCAACATGTTAAACTTCACATGATGTGAGATATATAATTTAACAATTCTATCAGGGGCGGAGGTGTTTGCCCCCCCCCCCCCCCCCCCCCAAAATTTTGAAAATCACATATAAGTACAACGATTGAAATTACGTATTAATTAAGTTATTTGTATAGATTCCGCTATACATTCATACATTCATTTCATTCATTAACTAAACATTCACTACAAATTGAGTTCATACTCATAGTAACAACTAATTATGTCTAGAAGCCGGTTCTTCACTAGAGGATCCTGAGGAAAGCGATTGACAACTCTTATGCATGATACACTGTTGGACATCAAGATCAAGGACTTCAATCCCTTCGATGGCTGTTCTTCAGCCAATTCATCATGGATCTTCTTCAGTACCTGCAGAGAACATCACTTGTGAGTTATGACGGATTGAAGACATCCAAACAGCCAGGCGGCATCAATCGCCCCGAACCAGAACCCGATCACCCGAAGCATCCTCCAAACCCAGCACCTGAAAAGGAGCAAGCAGGCAGGCGGGAAACAGGCTGCAAGCAAAGGCACTACACAGAACACACAGAAAACCTCCCCCTGGATCAATTCTGGCTAGAAGGGCGAAGCCACTCCACCCCCTGATTCCTACTGATCTTGCCTTTCGCAACTAACCAATCCACCGTGGATCTGATTGCAATCCAAGAGACCTCCTTGGCTCCTTTGCTAGCATCTTGGAACACGCGCTTATTCCTCTCGAGCCAAATTTGCCAGCACACAGCGTGAAGAATGCAGAACCCGATCCAATCCGTCAGATTGTCCGGAATATCAGTCTTCCAACATTGAATGGTGTCGAGGATTTGCTCTTGAGGAGCAAAAGATCCCCCACACACTCTCCTAACTTCATTCCAGACCTCCATCCCGAACTCACAGCATGTGAACAAGTGATCGACCGACTCTTCTTCCCTACAACACAGGCAGCATCTGTTAGCAATGGAGCAGCCCCTCTTTTGGATATTGTCAAGCGTCAAGATCCGCTTGTGAGCGACCAGCCACATGAAAGCGTTGATCTTTGAAAGCGTCAAGTATTTGTATAGTTAAATAACTCATTTATTGTTCACGTGGTATTTTAGTGTTATTTTAGTGGTAATTGAAATAAAGTATCTTGTTTAGTTGAATTATGCAAATGTGGTATTTGATATATGGTATTTGGTAAAAGCAGAGTGGTAAAACGAATTATTTCGAAATAACACATGGGTATGAGTTATTTCAAATAACTCGTTTTGAGTTATTTGTAAATAACTCACTATCCAAATAACTCATTCTAGTAATTAAAATGCTGCCAAACGAGTTATTTGAGTCTAAGAGTTATTTGAACCCAGATAACTTACAAATAACTCATATAAATACTTCATCCAAATGACCCCATTTCATAGTTGGTTTTTGAATTATAGGGTATGGGCCGGGCCACGGCTGTTGATAATCCAACAATGATAATGATAACCAATTCAATCTAGTTTGTCCTGATCCATATATTAGTTAGGTTTATTTTTAATAATATTCTAAAATTTTGTGAAAATCAAAAACTGAATTGCATTACAATCACAACGGTCTAAGTTTTGTTAATTTGGAAATTCTTCCTCAATTTACCAATTCAAATCAAACCATAGCAAATTTGCAACCATAAAAACTAGGATCTATGCATGTGTCAATAACATCAACAAAACAAAACAAAACAAAACAAAAGCAAAGCAAAGAGCTCAACAACTAATAAAATTGAAACTACAATTAATAAGGGCGAAAGATAATATAAAAAAAACTGTGAAAATCAAAAACCGAATTGCATTACAATCACAGCGGTCTAAGTTTTGTTAATTTGGAAATTCTTCCTCAATTTACCAATTCAAATCAAACCACAGCAAATTTGCAACCATCAAAACTAGGATCTATGCATGTGTCAATAACATCAAATAAACAAAACAAAAGCAAAGCAAAGAGCTCAACAACTAACAAAATTGAAACTACAATTAATAAGGGCGAAAGATAATTAAAAAAAACTGTGGGGAAATGGTAGCAAGTCGTCGTTCCTATACTCTCTTGAATTACTCATTCCATACATGATTGATGGCGAGCGACCAAAACAAGTATTTAGATTAGGCAGGTCACTCTTCGACCTTATAGGAGAGCATATTTTCCCCTTACTTTATAACTTTCTTGAGTGTTAGCCGCACCCAAAATAAATAACGGTATAAAGATCGGTACGTTGTGTAATTGTACAGTTTTATGGAAGAAAAAAAAAAGCAAAAGAAACCTACTCGTTCATGTCGCAGTATCCATGTTATTAATAACATCCATCCTATTTCCAAGCCTCTCTATTAGTATCCGATTAGTACTAATCAAAACTACTAATCCAATCAATCTGATTAATGTCCCGTAAGGAACTTCCGATACCAGATTGCTGACATTTTTGGGATTCTGACGGAAGGATCCTTAACATCAACATAGAACAATCCGAACTTGGTTTTGTAACCTTCACCCAACTCGAACCCATCAAGCAAAGACCAAACGATGTAGCCCTTCACATTGACTCCCATTCTGCAACCATATATAGTGTGTTAATTAACATGGAGAGTGTTTTTGTTTTTTTGTTTTTTTAATGTTTGAAGAGAGGGAGATGATCATTAAATTTGCCATTTCTTATTACCTCATGGCCCTTCTAAGGAAGGAGAGATGATCTCGAATAGATGAAGCTCTTAGGTTATCGTTTGGTGGAGCTACAAGTGGTGGGTACGTGTAGTTCCCAGCATCAGGAACTCCTGCAATATATACATTTTCTGGCGTAAGATTCACTAAGTTTAACATACTTTTTTATATTTGATGCTGGAGTAAACAAATTATCAATCAGACTCCAGAAGTTAAAATGCCAAACACTTATGATGATAAGGTGGTACTAACCCCGTTGTGACTAATATCATCATCAATGGACTTCAACACATTATATTTATTATTAGTATCATCAAGTAGAGTAATACTTATTATATTATATTATATTGATTGATAAGGATTAAGAGAGCTAATTATGGGAGATCGAAGAGTACCATTTTCTGTGATATAGATAAGAGGATTCTGATACGTGTTCTTTATGTGGAGCAAGAGATCACAAAGCCCTCTTGGATAAATGGCCATCCATTCGGCGGCTGTCTGCGCATGTCATTTTTGGTTAATTAAGTTTTGTGAGTAAACACTTACGTCATTAGTTTTAACAACATTAATCAATGCAATGGTGACCACCAACCAAATCAATCCGAAGAAGAGAGACTAGAAATTACCAGAGGACCGATTGGTTTCCCTTTGTCATCTATCACTGCATACATTGTTTAAAGAAAAAACATAGTTCATTAGTTACTCATCAAAACAGAAATCTCCCACGATAATTTCTTACCAAAATTCTTGTATATGTATGTTCGAAAAAATGTTAATGGTGTATTTGTGTTGTTCCTCGATGACGGTGAACATAAATACATACGTCCAAAACTATCTCGATCTCATTTAGCATCGCACGAGCTGATAAAAAGCCATTTTAGGGGTTTAGCTCTGGCGATGATCACTGAGGCTTTCCGCCCTCAAAATGGTAGGCTTCAGAGTAATTAGCTATGTAATAATTTCATATATACGAGAACAAGTATGTTAACCGGGTTGTCAAATATTAACTTACGGGTAACTGCGGCATGCGACTCAGGGAGAACGAGGTGACGGTTAGCAGATAAGTCGAGGGCCTTTACATATCGAGCCGTGTAATAGTTGATGCCGATGAAATCGAATGAGTTTCTTATCAATTTCGATTGTTGCTTAGAGAATCTTGGGAGCCGACCGCCGACATATTGTTTCATGCTCTCTGGATAATCACCACGGTATAGTGGCTCCATGAACCTAAATGAAAACACAGTCTGAGAGATTTTTTTTTTTACGGAAGTCTGAGAGATTAATTAACTAGTACACCTATAGTACTTAGGATCAATAATGTAGTTTTAAATGGCTAATAATTAACAAACTTGTACTCAAGGCATTAAGTAATTGGGGCTGATGCTACAAAGAAGTGAGATTGGGCCAAACCTAGTGTTGACACTAGAACTACCCTAAAATACTCGATTTTATAGGTTAAGCTACAATCTGGTCCAGCCGCCCTATTTTCCCTTACCCTATCTTATGTACCCACTTGGGTTGGGTTAAGCTAGCCCGGGTTGATTAAGCGGGTCAATCCAAATCAACAAAATTTTATTTGTAGTATCCAAATATATGTTTTTATATTTTAGTACCTACACTTTATTCTTTTACAAATAGGTCCAGATGGAAAATTATTTCTGGTACCTTTATATTTTTTAATTGAATAATAGTACCTAAACTTATAAAACTTTACAAACACGTCAAACTTTTTGTATGATGAATTTCAAATCACTAGTTGTTTTTATGGGTCATAAGCCAAAGGTGACCTAACCCTAAGTTGACCTAACCCTTACAAGACCAAAAGATCACTCGCGATCGAATTGACATTGTAGACAAACTGACCCAAGTCGACTCTCAAAATCTAACTAGACTGGACCTGACTGGACCAGTGGAAATTTAGAGCCAGACTTAATTAATTACACCCCTAAATCCTAATGGTACAACAGATCATGGAAATGAGTTTTCCTTACCAACCGAAGTTGTAGTCAAGGGCATCTCTCGCGGCACTTTTATCCCGTCCACTCGAGGTCATAGGGACGTACCAATCCACATTCATCGCCATTCCAATAAAACCTTTCTGAGTTGCCTACAAATGCACCGCGTTAAACCAATTAGCCATATATATAACGTTGTCGAATATGATGAGCTCAAATAAATCAGTTTTCTTATCCATGCAGTGATGAAGTCGGAATTTTGAATCAAGAGAAACTGAAAATACAAAGTTGTAGTGATTCAGAATGTTTTTTTCAATATATGAATGTACACGTACGTTATGATAAATGAAAATGAGAGGATCCACCATTAGGTGAATGCATGTATACCTGATATTTCTGCTTGTACAATTGGACCGCCGTTGCATGAGCAAGGAGCAGGTTGTGGCCAACGAAGTAGGGCTCGGTACCCGACTCTCCCTCGTCGCAGGTAAAGTTGCCGTGGCTGGTGCACCGGCCGGGGGCTAGGTCACCGGCGTAATAGCCGCCTTTAGCGACGGTAAATGGCTCGTTTATTGTGATCCAATACTTGACACGGTCGCCGTACTCCTTGAAGCACAAATCGACATAATCTCGAAAGTCGGTCCTGTCTTATCCAGTTTCAAACAATAAGACGTACATATATAGATTTAGTCGAATATTTGTGAAAAATATTTATTCAAGGAAGCTATATATCTAGCTAGGGCAACAGAGTACTAGAGGATTACACGATTCGATTGCTTAAAAAGCCACCGTATTCATCATCCAAACATTGAGGACTATCCATATGGACTAGTGACAAAAATGGCGTAAGTCCTGCAAGTAATAATATAAAAAAAAATTATAGCACTCTTGTAACAAAATCTATATCTTCTCAATTCGATCAATTAGTTTTATAAATATATATGGCGAGTTCTACGGTACCCTGGGTGAAATCCGGGGTACCGCATACCTTGAGTATGAAAACACTATTTAAACCTTGAATTGACCGATCTTTCGAACACGATACTATACTCTAACACTTAAAGATCAAAATCTAGGTGTTAACTCTCCCAATATTATACTCCAAGATCAATTTAATTAGAAATAATAATCGACGGTTATGATTCATCCAAATATAGGCACAAAAAGGAATGCACCATCTTAGGGTTTATAGATTATGATTTAGATAATTATGACCTAGGGTTCACTCATTAAGGGTTAGGGTATAATATCAGACACAAAAATCCTGGTAATTCGAGGTCTAGATAGAGTTTCCATACTCGAGGTATGCGGTACCCCGGATTTCACCCGGGGTACCATAGAAGCCACCATATATATATATATAGTGGCGTCTTCGGTGGACTCACTTTTTTGGGTGCATTCAGTGCACTCGCTTCATAATCGTTATTTTAAACATGCGATTTATGTCAAAATGATGTCAATCATCATTATGATGTGATGAACAATAACGCACATAAATTTGCACAAAAAAATTAAAAATTTATTTTAATTTGAAGGATTTAGAGTTTAGAGATTTGGGGTTAGGGTTTATAATTTGGGATTTAGGGATAGAACTCAAAATTGGAGGTCTAGAGCTTAGGGTAATCCGCTAATTAGTTGTTATCATATGTTATATCATCATATTACACTAATTCTATAAATTAAAATTCAAAATCCGACACCTTAAGACTAGTTTTTGAGTTGGGTGCATTGAACGCACTCATTTTTGTGAGTGCATCGAAGTAGTCACCATATATATTAAAATCAAAACATATACAACACAATAAGGTGACAAATAGTATTGATTTATCAATTCGATCAAATGGATTAGTGTATTGAATATTTGAAATTATGAACCCAAGTGGCCTCCAAATATTGCACCAATATGTAAATTTTGAAAAATTTAAGTATTAAAATGTCATTATGAAAATTTTTAGATACCAAAATTAAAATTTGAATGATTTTTTCGTTAAAAAAACTAAAATTAAGATATGAAAATATAAATACAAAATTATATGATTTCAAATTGTCTCCCTAATATAAATCAAAGGACCGACCTTGTGCTAGGATCTCATTGATGACGTTGTTATAATGTTGGAGCCCTTTTTGGTTGATGCCTCCACTGAGCTTACCTCCTGCAAATGAATTTTTTTATTATTATTCTGCATTGAATTAACTAATACCAAAAATGGATCGAAGAATCAAAGCACAAGAGGGGAGACAGAAGAAGAACGTACTGGGCAGTATTCTGGACCAGGAGAGTGAAAATCTGAAAGTATTCAGGCCCAGTGATTTTGCAAGGGCTATATCATCCTACACAATTAATTTAATAAATAAATAGCTTCATCCTTTTTATTATTTTCGACCTCCTTAAATTATTGGGTGCAAAAATAAGTCTTAATTTACCAGACATATTACCGTACCTTGTATAGATGGTAGGAGTCGGAACCCACATCGCCCGTGCTTCCATCTTTAATTTTACCTACAGAAATTTTTTAAAATATATTAATTCTAAGATTTAACAAATGATTACGCATATTTGATTAGTATGAAATTAATCTGTACCCTGAGAAAGAAAGCAAAAATATTATCATAATTAATAAAAGTGTTTAGCAGCAAAAAATTGACGCAAGCACAAGACAAGAACCTACCTGGATTAGCATGAGCATAAGCATCCCATATACTAGGACGTCTACCATCTTCCCATGTCGCACCTTCATGCTAAACCAATTTCCACAAATAATTAGTCACATAATTATAAGCCAATTAACAAACTGTTGAATTTTTTTCAATCGCAATACATTATTACAAGACCATGGAAATTTTAGAAGACAAGGACGAACGGCAAGCAAAAAGTATCATAAACGACGGCCAAAATATATACAGCGACATAAACTCATTCAAACCGTTATTCATTTTAACAATCTTATATATATATATGGTACAGAGACATTATCAACAGAGACATTTAGCTCGTTACCGATAAAAAAAATCGGAGCCAAAACTTGAATTACAATAAAAAACAAATGATGAACTTGAAATATTTTCCATATCATAACCTCTAATTCTTCGGATTCGGTATATATATATATATGGTGGCGTCTTCGGTGCACTCACTTTTCTTTGTGCATTCAGTGCACTCACTTCATAACCGCCATTTTAAACATGCAATTTATGTCAAAATGATGTCAATCGTCACTTATGATGTGATGAACAATAACACACATGAATTTGCACAAAAACCATTAAAGATTTACTTTAATTTGAAGGATTTATAGTTTAGAGATTTAGGGTTAGGGTTAGGGTTAGGGTTTACAGTTTGGGGTTTAGGGATAGAAATCAAAATTGAAGGTCTAGGGCTTAGAGTAATCGGCTAATTAGTTGTTGTTATATGTTATATCATCATATTACACTAATTCTACAAATTAAAATTCAAAATCCGAAACCTTAAGTCTAGTTTTTGAGTTGGGTGCATTGAACGCACTCATTTTTGTGAGTGCACCGAAGTAGTCACCATATATATATATATATATATATATATATACACTGAAATTGGATACGGAAATCTAATGACGTAATAAACACTTAATTAAAACGGCTAGTTTCCAACTAATTAATCTTTTATCGCAAACCAAAACTATTTATATAGTTATTATTATGCAATTAATTATTTAGCAACCGAAACTAGACTTGAAATATAAAATTACTTGGTAAGCTGATGTGGCTGCCCCAAACAGGAAACCTTTGGGAAATTGGCTTCGTCTAAGGTAATAATTCCGGCTTGAATTTGCTGCCTTTGGATGGGCATTAGCCATTGACGTACTGGAGAGACTCGCATGAGCTCCCAAAACAAACTCATCCGAGACAAGAAGGAACAACACTAGCAGCAAGAGTAAATTGCAGGTCTGCGGTCTCTCCATCGACGTTCGGATCTCTGGATTACTAGCTAGTTCCTCTCTAACTGTTTTCATCGAGCGATCACAACGCGTACGATCTCTCTTATTCGTCATTCCTTCCTAAGTAACTCCTTCAAAGATTACGGGATTTTATATGGAAGATTTATGTGTTTTGGATTCGAGAACTCCTCCTGTCTATTTGCTACAGATAACGAATGTTTACAATAATGCTTCTATTTAATGCCTGCCTACTGTTTCTTGAATATGTGGGGGAGTTACCACAAACATGTCCCTGACAATAAGGGGAGTTTCTGAAATGCAGTTACAGGACAAGTACCGGGCCAGAGAGTGCCGTTTCTTTCAGAGACGGAGTAAAATCCAGAGCTGTCGTCGACTGGAAACCAGAGCATCGAATTCCACAGTGATCAGTGAAATCGAGAGCCTTAAGATTGCGATTCAAGTCCGGGGCTAAAGAAACTAACTTGGATTCAAATGCCACATGTTAAATATCATTGTGAATGATTCAGACATCCAAACCACTAGATACAAGCGCACATACACAAATACCAGATGATAAATGATGACAACAAAGGAACCCTATCTCCTCTCATTCAACTGATTTCCACTAGCTATATATTGATAGAACCTTGGCCCCCCTGCCAACTTAATCCCATTCAGAAGTCAATATGGAAAGGGGGGGTTTACTACTTCGCCAAGAAACTCGATATGGGGTTCTGTGTTGGGAGATCCTTTGAGAAAGTAATCGACCACATTATAAGGTACGTTGTTCGACTGCAACTTCAAGCACTTCAATCTTGTGAAGGGAGAGGGTTGTTCTTCTAAAATCTCAGAAATCTGACTCAGTGCCTGCGCATAAAAAGACCTCTCTCGACCATTAAAATATTTGAAGGACATATATCTGCTAGAAGAAACTCTCTTTTGTAATTGAGACGGCACACACTAAAACCACGAAAGCATACCTCGATGGTCAAGTGAGAGTCCGGATCTGGTGACTAAGGGGGGGTCCTTAGTCACTTGACTAAGCCCCCCTCAGCCATTGGATTGATCTGATGGTTCAGATAACTCAATTAATTATTATTAAATAAGAAGGGTAGTTTTGGTATTATCAATAATTTATTAACTCCTATTTTTTAGTTTTGTTTTATTTATTATTGAATTCTTTTTTCCTCTGCAACACGTCTCTTACTTTCCCTTTTTTGTGATGTAGAGAGAGAGAGCCATGGCGGAGGAAACAGGAGGCAACGCCGGCGGATGAGAGAGAGAAAGAGAAAGTCGACGATCTCGACGGCGCCGACGACGGTGGAGAGAGGGAAAGGAGATCGCGATTTTTCCTCCAGTCATCCTCTTCTACGTCGCCATTGCAGGCCATAGGAGAGAGAGAGAAAAGCAGCAGCGGGGAGAGAAGGACGTCGACGGTGGAAGAGAGGGGGGCGACGGCGAGGAGATCTCAACTGCGTCGGCGACGATGGAGAGAGGGAAAGACGATCGCGACGGAGGCGGTGGAAGAGAGAGAAAGTAGATCTGTTGCCGGGAAAACAGAGGTAACGACGGCTGTAGAGAGAGTCGGCGGCAGCGACGGCGGCGGCGGCGGTGGAGAGACATCGTCTGAAGGAAGAACAGTGATTTGTATAGTTTGTATGTTTTGTAACATTAGTTTGTATTGTTAGTATTTTTGTACAAAATGTAAGTATGGTTTGTATAGTTTGTATGTTTTGTAATCTTAATTTGTATACTTTATATGTATTGATTTGTGCTGCAAATCACGTCGCTTTGTATTGTAAGTACTAATAATTTGTATACTTTATATGTATTGATTTGTGATTCAAAAAACATTACAAACATATTTGACAAAAATGACAAACATGTGGACAAAAATAACAAACATTACAAACAATACAAAAGAAACCAAAAAACATTACAAACATTACAAAATAACAAACATTGCAAACAAACATTACAAAGCATACTACACGTACAGAATATCACTACTTACAATACAGATTGGTAAACTTGTATTACAAACAAATGAATACAAAGTATACAAATCATAACATAAAAGTATACAAACTTGAATAACAAAAGTTACAAATACAAACCAATGAATAGAAAGTGTATAAATCATAACATAAAGTATACAAACTAGACAAACAAACATTACAAACATTACAATGTATACAAAATATTACAAAGCATTACAAACAAACATTACAAAGCATACTACACGTACAGAATATCACTACATTACAAAACATTACAAAACATTACAAACAATACAAAAGAAACCAACAAACATTACAAACATTACAAACATTGCAAACAAACATTACAAACAAACATTACAAAGCATACTACACGTACAGAATATCACTACTTACAATACAGATTGGTAAACTTGTATTACAAACAAATGAATACAAAGTATACAAATCATAACATAAAAGTATACAAACTTGAATAACAAAAGTTACAAATACAAACCAATGAATAGAAAGTGTATAAATCATAACATAAAGTATACAAACTAGACAAACAAACATTACAAACATTACAATGTATACAAAATATTACAAAGCATTACAAACAAACATTACAAAGCATACTACACGTACAGAATATCACTACATTACAAAACATTACAAACAATACAAAAGAAACCAACAAACATTACAAACATTACAAACATTGCAAACAAACATTACAAACATTACAAACAAACATTACAAAGCATACTACACGTACAGAATATCACTACTTACAATACAGATTGGTAAACTTGTATTACAAACAAATGAATACAAAGTATACAAATCATAACATAAAAGTATACAAACTTGAATAACAAAAGTTACAAATACAAATCAATGAATAGAAAGTGTATAAATCATAACATAAAGTATACAAACTAGACAAACAAACATTACAAACATTACAAAATAGTAATATAAACATTACAAACATCACGAACTCAATACTGTTGCCGGAAAATCATCCACCACCGTCTCTGATCGCCGGAAAACTGCTCCGCCGTCGCCGGAAAAGTTGACAAGAACTCTCCCTCCCTCCCTCCCTCCCTCCCCTCCCCCTCTCTCTCTCTCTCTCTCTCTCTCTCTCTCTCTCTCTCTCTCTCTCTCTCTCTCTCTCTCTCTCTCTGGGAATGAGAATGGGGAAAAGTCCCCATAAAATTGACCCCTCTCTCGCGTGCTGGGAATGGGGAAATCCCATAAAAATGGACCGGCCGCTGAAAGGAAAAGGAGGACCGCCGGCGTTGGGTTTCGGGAGATTGTCGCCCGTCCGGAAGAATTTCCCAGGAACGTCGGTGAAAGCGGCGCTAGATAGGTTTTATTTTTGTTTAATTTAATTGCTAAATAAATAAATTATGTATTTACTATTATATCCTTCATTAAAAGAAATTAATCTCAGCCATTGGATTTTAATGAGAGGGAAGGGCTGAGATTCACTTAGTCACATGACTAAGGACCCCCTCCTTAGTCACATGATCTTAGCCCGGTCAAGTGATCCAGCGTGAGAGATCCTACATTATGCAAATCTTGGAACAAAGAGATAAACTGTAGCTTCTCAATGTCGTCGGGATCAAACCTAAACAAAAAACTAAGTCGAATTTCAGCACGCTCAAGAGAAGGGAGGCTTGACTTTAACAGCTTCACTTCAAATTTGAAAGCAAGGCTCAAGAAGTTGAGTTTTGGAGCACGTATTTCAAGTCGCTGAGATGGCACGGGAAAGAGTTTCAGGCTAACCAAATTTAGCCCAGATATGGTTTCCGTACGAGTATACTTGTAGCATGAACACTCCTCCATGACCAAATTCTCCAGACAAGGGAAGTTAGAATCAGAAAAGACATCCAGATCCGTCACCCAGCAGTAGTACAAATCCAGAGTAGTCACGAATCCAAAACCAGAGTATTGAGAATTGCGGAAGCTCACCGCTCTTAATTGTAGAGTTTCGATATTGCTTTTCGTGACTGAGCCAAACAAATGAAAGAAATCAGGACTGCACCCGGGCTCCTCTCCATCATCAAGATCAATCGCAATATGTTGAGCATCATGCAAGAGTGCATATCCGATGACCCTCGCATACAGTCGATGCTCTTCCCGTTCACCATGTTCATCCATAATCCCATCATTGTCCATGAAGCTGACCACAACACAAGTCCCACTGTCAATGAAGCTGACCTCACGGAGTCTGAGGGGATAGCGGAGGGACAAAACGTTGTCCACAAATTTAATGAAACTCGAATACTGCTCGAAGGAAGTCTTGTCTAGATTGAGGACAGGGACATGTTTCCAAGCGCATCGCCACGCTCTGGACAACACAGAGGTTTGAACGGCCGATTTGGTGTCGAGGAAAGAAAGGATGTGATAAATAATTGGTCCTGGAAGACGGCTTAGCCTGTCACGCCGCCCTTTTCGGGCTTTCCCTAACTTCCTGCTGTTCTGCTGGTACTACAGACAATTTCTAATTCTGGGAATCCCAAAGCCGGGAACTACGAAACGATTGGAAAGAGAAGATGAAGTAAGAGCAGAATCACGAAAAGACTACTAATTTACCTTTTCCCACAATGATGAAGCAAATCACGAAGAGACTACAAATTCACCTTTCCTCCCAATGATGAACTCTTCTCGTCACCGCCGGGCCCGCGCGAAGATAGACAACCTCCACCACTTCAATTTCCGAGCTTTGCCGGCCGGAGTCTATCAAATAACCGAGGAGGATCACTGGATTAGAAAGCCATCTACGTTTCTCCGATTTAGGGTTTCACGGAGGAATGAAGTGAACAATTTCGAGATGGGAAAGCGAGAAACGATTTTTTGTCCCCACTATTACAGCTTGGTCCCGAACTGATATTAATTTGTCGCGAGGTAGAACTTTTAAAGCAGGTCACTAATAGAAAGTGGATATGTCATTTAAGTAGTCTATTAGAGAATTGAGGTTGATGGTTCATTTAAATTTGAACAGGGCTTCGGATACCATACCATTAAAGTTGCTACAACGTGCATTCATATAGTTTTTCATCCATTCCAAAATTTTAATTGTATTTTGGTTCCCCAAAAATTTTTAAAATATCGAAAATTATATATTAACAAAATTTATCTAATAAAAAATTAGAAAACCTTCTAAATATAGTATTTGCTAATAAAAAATTTCCAATAAAATAGATAAATTAGTAAAAGTAATATACAAATATAAAAAGAATAATAAATATTTAAAATCAATATTAGAATATCTATTTAAACCCATAATTTAATTAGAAGTGCAATTAAAAATAATTAATATACAATCTAATTGATCATTAATACATCAAGACCAAAGAAGGATAAATGGAACACAATCAGAAAGAATTAAACATATTTTATTAATTGAAAAAAAATTATAACGAAAAGAGACGGAAAGTAACCAAATAATAAATAAACTATAAAAGTAACAACATTCAGTAACAAATCAATAAAAGAAAATATGACTGTAGGAAGAGAGTTAGAATTAATAAATTTAAGGCAAAATACACTTGTGTATAGGGATGGCAATGGGTCGGGTTGGGTCAGGTTTTGTCAAACCCAAACTCATGTGTTTATCCGTGAAAAAAAATGGGGTAAAACCAACTAGGTTTGAAAAACTCAAACACAACCCAACCCTCTGGGTATCCGCGGGTTCATGGGTACCCACGGGTTTTTGTCGTAAAAAATTTACACTAACAAGTTCCTATCAAAATTAAAGTCTAATATCAATCTCTCAATACAAATTATCCATATTTAAAACACCATTCTAAAAAATTTAAGCAAATCACAAATTAACTATACAAATTTTTCAACACCAATCTAGAGAACTCAAGAAAATTGAAGCAAATCACAAATTATCCATATATAACATGATTAATTGAAAGCTTCTTCCTTTGAATTAAGTTTCTTCACTCTCCACTCGATAACATCAACTTCATTCTACACAATTAGAAAAAAATAGAAATGTCTCCACAAACATAAATAAGTTTAGTTGTTTAGAATATTAAATATACCGAGAAAATTAATTATATGGGTGTGGGCGGGTACCCATGGGTTGGGTTTACCTAAAGCCAAACCCAACCCAACCTGGCCCAAAACCCGTCAACACGAATTTTACCCGCATTGACCGGGTTGGGTCGGGTGGGTACCCGTGGGTTCGAGTTTTGTTGTCATCCCTACTTGTGTAGCCAAAATTTTGATGGTTTGGCCAAGTATAGCCACTTTTGGCAAAATACAAAAATAGCCACTTCCATCCAATTCTTTGATGGTGTCAAGTAACGGGTTGACTGGACTAACGACATTATTGAGTTGGCGACGTTAGTTAATTAAAAATGTGAGGTGGAGACTAAAAATAAATAAAATAAATATTTTTTATTTTCTCTCTTCATTTCTCTTCTTCCCCATCCCTTCCCTAGTAGAAACTCTTGTTCAATTGAAATCTGTTGCCGGTGCTCCCTCAAGTCAATCAATCGATTCCTCTTGTCGCTATAAATTTGGGTTTTGGAAGATGGATCTAGAAAGCGTCAAATTTGGGTTTCAATCGAGAAGATGAAGTCAGGGGAAAAGAAGATGAAATCTAGTTTTCAATCGGAGAAGATGAAGTCAAATCTGGATTTCAATCTCCCTCCATCCTCCGATCTTCCCCTTTCTTTCCCTCCGATCTTCCTCTCACACCCATCATTACTAATCTCCAGTCTTTCACCTCTCTTTTCTCTTCGATCTTCCCTCAAACTTGTAGTGCCGCGACGATTAGAAATTTAGAACCCACAACAACGTTGACCAAATTTGTAAACCCCAAATCCAGATATGGGCAGCGAGCCCAACCTAAGACTAAGAATAAACATCAAAGCTACAAAGCAACGTATAATGTATAATAATTAAGGGAGATTTAATAATCTTTTATGAGAGGATTAATGCTAACAAAGAGTCAAATTAACATCACTTGAAAAATGAATTAATAATTGTAAGAATTAAGTTTTTTATTTATTATAAAAAAGAAATTAATTTTATTTGAAAATTCTTATAAAAATATTCTTTTGAAATTAAATGTACAAATATTTTAGATATATTTCTATTTTTTATGAATTAAGATATTTTGCTATTGATATATCCTAATCTAAAGGGAATAGATTTTATATCTAAATTCTGCGTAGGGGTGTCAGTTCGGGTCGGCTTCGGTTACCCGAACCGAAATCCGAAAAAACCCGAAAATCCGAAATCGAAAACCACTAAAACCGAACTCGAACCCAATAAGGACTTGCGGGTTCCGGTTACCCGAAACTCGAAAATTCCTTATCGGGTTCGGGTTCGTTTAAAGCAAAACCGAAACCCAAAAACCCGAACGCCTAAGAATACGGATTGAGTTCTATTCATTGGAGGTTTTTAGCCGGAACCCAAAAAACTGAAAAGCAAAACCGAACCCGAAACCAAAAACCCGAAACCCGAAACAAACCCGAACCCAAAAAACCGAAAATGTATATAATCGGATCGGTTTCGGGTAAACCCCTATGGACACCCCTAATTCTGCGAGATAGAGTTTTCGGGCAGATTAAAAAATACATCCAATTATAGGGAAAAAATACATCCCATTTTTAATAGAAAACACCGCTACCAATTGCAGCCCAATAAAAAATATGTAGAACTCCATGAATTACAGTCTAGGCTTCAAAGCGTATGTAGATAAGTATCTTGTATAATAAAACCTTTGATTTCCTCTTTTTCAAAGTGATCTATTGAGAAGAAGAAGAAAAAATCAATAACAGAAACCCAGTAGCGATTGAAAACCTGCAAATTCCATACCCAAAGGCAAAAGAGGGTAGGCTTCTGGGCAAACTTTTACCCACTGCAATTCTATATACATGAAATGATTCATATCAATTTCATCATTTGTTGCTGGTTGGATCTTGTATATCTCTACATTTATTGTTCTTTTTAGGGCAAATACAATATAATATCCATAACTATTATGGATCGGGGATTTATATCCTCAACTATCAATATACAAATTAATATCCATAACTATAGTTGCAGGTCAATATATGGCTAACAGTCTGTTACTACCGTTAAATTTGTAACGGAGACTGCCATGTCAGCATCCATATTGGCATCCACATCAGCAAATAATTAAATATATAATTTTTATTTTTAAATTAAAAAAAATAAAAAATTAAAGTTGAAAAACAAACTCAACCACTCTCCCCTCTTTTTCCCCCTATCTTCCTCCACCGTCACCTTGCTTCCTCCGCCCTCCCCTGTCTCCCTCTTCTTCCCCTATCTTCCTCCACCGTCCCCTGGCTTCCTCCGCCCTCCCCTGTCTGGCTGTCTCCCTCTTCTTCTTCCCCTATCTTCCTCCACCGTCACCTAGCTTCCTCCGCCCTACCCAGCCTCTGTTGTCTCTCAACTCCTCGTTAATAGGGACTAGCCATCCCTCCGCCGTGGCAGCACCACTCGTCGTCCACTGCATCCACCGCTCCTACGACTCCGTCAACTGCCCCGCTGGCGTCGTCCGCAGCAGATCCGACTGGCAGAGCTCATGCGCCATCCTCTCTAGCAAAGTCGCCACTCAGGAGCAGCCTAGATCTGGAAGAGAAAATGGACTCGATTTCATAGATTCGGTCAACGGTCACAAGACTATTGACCTGGATTTGGTCAACGGTACTGCGACTGCCGTCGACTGCAGAAGGCGTTGACTATCACCGACCTCGCTCCAGCTCCGATGCACATAGCGCAGCTCCGAGTCGCATACCGGGGAGTCCCCGGTGTGTACTGTCACCAACGAGGCTCAAGAGTCGAAAGAGGCTGCTCGAGGTCGAAGGAGGCATTTCGTAGCAAGGACGCGACGAGGGTGTCGCGAGCATAGGTGGGGGAGGATGTCACATGTGGCAGATGACATGGCGCCAACAAGGTGACAACATGGCGGCTGCACATGTGGCATGCATGGAAGACTAGTAGCATAGAGATGCTCCTAGGATTCTCCACCTTAATGTAGAGCTTAATGGTGCACTTATGAGTCACATAATGGTGACATTGATAGAGTGCATAATGGGGGGGACTTAATGGGTGTATTGATGTAGTAGAGGGACATTATGAGGGGGCATTGATGCCTTGTATGTGGAGAGGCCTATATAAGGAGCCATCTCCCTCACTTGTAACTCATCCATCATTTTTGTGAGCAATACAACTATAGAGTTTCTCCCATCTTCTTGTGTCTTGTTCTTGTGAGTTGAGTGAGTTTGAGAGCTTGTGAGAAGGCTGCCTAGTATCTCTAACGGAATTGAGAGCTAGGGCCGCACGACCAAGAGTAAGGCCGTGACAGTTGGTATCAGAGCCTGGTTCTGAAAGAAGAACCGGTGTCCTCACTCCCCAAGAAGGAAGATAAGAAAGAGCGAGAGCCTCACCAAAGATGATTGGATCAGAAGTCCACGACGATGCGGAGAAGCACCGTGGAAGGGATACCGTGAAGAATCCCAAACCAAAGGGTGACAAGTCAAGCACTCGTGATCCTATGACGTCTCTAGAGAGGCGTGTCTCTAGAATGGAGGTGAAGTTGGCGGAAGACATCAGTGCCATCGAGGATTTGGGAGCAAACTTCACCCAAGTCGAAAGCGACTTTCAAAGTATGAATGCTCGTTTGTCGAGCTTGGAGATTGGTAATGATGGCTTACGAGAAGAGCTTGTGGCCCTCATCAACAACACCATCACCACATCCTTAAACAACGCCATTGAAGTTGTGAAAGAACATGTCCAGGCTGAGCTGGTCGGCGTGAAGGAGGAGATTGCAGACCTCAAGAGTGAGGTCACTCTCGTGAAGAGAGCCATGGCTAACGGACCTGCCATTGCACAACCTACCTCAACCATGGAGGTTCCTAGACCAAAGAGCTTTCAAGGGTCGAGGAATGCAAGGGAGTTAGAGAACTTCCTATGGAGCTTGGAGCAATACTTCGAAGCTTCGGGTATTCGAGATGAGAATACCAAGGTAAAAACTGCACCTCTCTACTTGAGTGATGTTGCCATGCTGTGGTGGAGAAGGACCCAAGGCGATATCAATAAAGGGGCGTGCGTGATGGAGTCATGGGATGACTTCAAGAGGGAGATCAAGAGGCAATTCTACCCAGATAATGTTGAGTTTGAAGCCCGGTCGAGACTAAGGAGGCTTGCTCACGAAGGAGAGATTCGAGGGTATGTGAAAGAGTTTTCTGAATTGTTGCTCGAGATCCCCGACTACACCGACAAGGAGGCCATGTTCACCTTCCTTGACGGCCTCCAACCATGGGCGAAGTTGGAGCTACAACGGCGAGGCGTGCAAAGTCTTGCCGAGGCAATGGCGATTGCCGAGTCCCTAGTCGAGTACCACGAGCCGGAGGAACGTGCGGAGTTCGGAGGCAATGGAGGTGGACGCGACTATGATAGAGACACACGAAGGCGTGGTAGACCGGACCAAGGAGGTAGTCATAAGGTTGAGAAACCACTTACTTGCTTTCTTTGTGATGGTCCACACCGTGTGAGAGATTGCCCAAGAAAGCACAAGTTGTCGGCAATGAAGGCCGTACTGGCAGAGTGCTCGAGCTCGGAAGAGGAAGCAGAGGAGGCTCCAAGAGTGGAGCCCCATGTCGCGAAGATCGGTTGCATGAAGAGATTGAGCGCCATCAAGCGGGCGGAAGAGCCTCTCCAACCCGAGCAGCACGGCCAATGCTTCGTAGAGGCGAAGCTCAACCAAAGGAAAACAAAAGCTTTGGTTGATACTGGGGCAAGTTGCAACCTTCTTGACGTAGGTGAAGCGCAGAGGCTAGGCATCACGTACGAGAAGAAGCAAAGAGGGTGGATGAAAGCTACCAACTCAAGGGCCACAAGAACTCATGAAGTAGCGCGCCAGGTGCCACTCAAGCTTGGAGGATGGACCGGGGTGGCAGACTTTGAGGTTGTGTCGTTGGATGATTATCAGGTCATCGTCGGCATGGAATTCATGGTGCGGGAGAAAGCTTTCCCGATTCCCTACGCCAATAGATTCTGCATCAATGGCGGAGCAAGATCGGTTCCCATGACAAGAGAGCAACTCGAGTCAAACAAGAGGTGTTTGGCAAGGCAAGAGCAGCGAGAAGTGGCAACGATGGTGGAGGCAGAGACTCACTCGAAGACTCGTTGGAGAAGGACGAGAAGGAGGAGTGCACAACATCGTGGAGCCATGAGAGACGAGGATGTATCATCTTCGACTTGCCAAGAGAAGCAAGGAAAGGCCACCATGATCGAGAAGCCGGGACACTCAAAGACGCGACGGAGAAGACCGCGGAGGAGTGAGCAATATCATGGGAGCACAAGGCTCGAGAGCGAGCCAAGGCCATCCTTGGTTTGGAGGAAGGTGCAACGAGACCTTGCAAGCAATGAAGCTAAGGCAAGGGACGCGTCTGCCAAAGAGCCACGACGAGGGCGTCGTGGATTGAGTGAAGGAGAATGTCACCAACGAGGCTCAAGAGTCGAAAGAGGCTGCTCGAGGTCGAAGGAGGCATTTTGTAGCAAGGACGCGACGAGGGCGTCGCGAGCATAGGTGGGGGAGGATGTCACATGTGGCAGATGACATGGCGCCAACAAGGTGACAACATGGCGGCTGCACATGTGGCATGCATGGAAGACTAGTAGCATAGAGATGCTCCTAGGATTCTCCACCTTAATGTAGAGCTTAATGGTGCACTTATGAGTCACATAATGGTGACATTGATAGAGTGCATAATGGGGGGGACTTAATGGGTGTATTGATGTAGTAGAGGGACATTATGAGGGGGCATTGATGCCTTGTATGTGGAGAGGCCTATATAAGGAGCCATCTCCCTCACTTGTAACTCATCCATCATTTTTGTGAGCAATACAACTATAGAGTTTCTCCCATCTTCTTGTGTCTTGTTCTTGTGAGTTGAGTGAGTTTGAGAGCTTGTGAGAAGGCTGCCTAGTATCTCTAACGGAATTGAGAGCTAGGGCCGCACGACCAAGAGTAAGGCCGTGACAGTACTCCGAGGCAGTGGTGGCTTCTTGTCGACAATGAGCTCTCCAGACCTGGATCGAAGATTGGGGATTTGGATTGACGATGGGGGGTTTGTTTCGTTACTTTCGATGAGTGAAAGAAGAAGGATTGGGGTTTTTGGTAGGGGGGACTCAGGCAATGGTAGTCTCGCCGCCATGCCTGCAGGACGGTGAGTGGATCCTCGTCGGCGACTTCGTGTCTTTGCAGACGAAGGGGGAGATGGACAGATGAGAGAAGAAGGGGTTGAGGATAAGAATTGGGTGAATGGATGTGAGAGGAGGGGAGGGGTAATATTTGTTTTATTTTTTTTTACGTTTTATGTTATTATTTACTTAATCAATTCCACAGGGATGTCATGTTCTCAATTCCATCTCAGTTTTTTTTTGCCAGGTCAGCATTGCAGAAAGACCTACTAACGGGGTATTAACGGACAATTAACGATTGAATATTAATTTGTATATTGATAGTTGAGGATATAAATCCCCGATCCATAATAGTTATGAATATTATATTGTATTTTCCCTTCTTTTTACGAAGAATACAAAAAAAACTCGTCAATTATAGTCATTTGACTGTGTAACCAAAACAGTCCAAGTAGATTGGAACCAAAGCACAAACTAGATTCAATACTATGCATAACCATAATTTAAGAAGGCAGTTGACAAGAAAATAACTATAGAGATAGAAAGATACTCTTTTTTTTCTTCTCCCACTGAGTATTCAGAAACAACTTCTACTTAAACTCACATATCAAAGATCGAGGAGAATGCATGGTTCTTCACAAGAAGATCCTTTGAAAAGGTAATGGAAAAGCTCGTACGGTAGGCTGTCTGTTGGCACAATCAAGGACTCCAGTCTCCTAAATGGGGATGTCTGCCGTCCAAGAAACACACAGATCCTCCTCAATACCTACATAGAACACAGACAGAATTCAATGCACCATACAGAAACATCTTCTCTAAGGCACCAGTGACATTATTCATGCAATAAGACAGAGCAGTACCTCAATGACATTGGCATCTAGCTTCAAAGATTTTGTATTATGCAAGCCTCGGAACAAGAAGTGGAAATTTTGCCGCATCCATTCTTCCCACGTCGTAAAGTTGCTCTCAATGTCGCTCAACGATAGGCGGGTCAGAGCAACCTCTGCATGATCCAGCGAGGGAACGGTTAAGCTCAAGTGTTCCTGTGGGCTAGCACGCTGACGAAGACGGAAGAATTTGAGTTTCGGTGCAAATACTTCAATCTCAAATGACTTCATCTCGTCGAGTTCCAGGCAAAGCAATTGGGATCCACACACCCTTACCGCTCCCCCAACAGGCTCGACAGCACGCAGGACCAAGTTCGTCAAACAAGGAAACCTAGAGAAAGGATCGAGGTCCTCCCCCTTTTCACCAGCCAGCGCGCAATTGGCCAGGCACAGCGATGTCAACATCTTGAAACCAGAAGATACGAATGCAGTGTCGAATACTAGATAGTTCAGTTCTAGACTTTTCAGATTGCTATTCGAGATTGAGCCGAACATACCGGGGAACCTGTAGAAGTCTCTGAAATCTGTTGAGTCGCTCCCCGCGTCAACGACCAACTGCTGAACATCATGAGACAGAGCATATTGGATCACCTCCACGAACACGCTCTTATCTGTTTCATCCGACCACCGTGCGATCTTATCGACGTAGGTAACCTTGCGGACATTAACGTGGCTGCGGGAGGACAAAACCTCGTGCACAAATTCTTTGAAGGCCGAAGCTCGTTGTGAAGAACCTCGACAAAGATCAAGGGCAGGGGCATATTTCCAAATGGAATTCCACGCTCGGGAGAGTACGGAGGTTTGAGCTGCGGATTTGGTGTCGAGGAAAGAAAGGATGTGAGACAGAAGGGGTTCTGGAAGAGAGCTTAACATGTCAGCAGCTGCACTATTATCTTCTTCTTCCTCCTTCCGGCGCCTCTGTCCAGCTTTCCCTGAGGTGTACCTGCCGCTGTTGCTCATAGAGACTAGAGATTCTTGTGGCTGCAGTCCTGAAACAAATGAGGAATTGGGAATGGATTACAACTTCTTCCTTTTCTATGAAGCAATACAATTTTTCCAAACTAGAAAAGCGAGAAATGATTTATTTATTTTTTTTGCCAAAAGATATCATATATTGATCGAAAAAATAGACTTACATCCTGGAAATCAGCCAGGTCTGGAAATCAAAGAAGCGACTCATAGTCGGATACAAAGAGAGGGCTTTCCTAGCTACCAAATGAGCTACCCTATTGTTTTCCCGACCTACAAAACGCACACTAAAGTCAGGCTGAGTACGCAAAAAATGAGCAACCTCTTCCAGAATAGCGCCCAACCGGCTATCTCTCGTGTCGGCTTGATTAAGTTTGTCAATAATCACCTTTGCATCGCCCTTAAAACGGACCTCCGACAAACCTTGCTCAATACACCACATAATAGCATCCCTCAGAACAAGCAACTCCACCACTCCAGGATCATCCATGTGAGCAAACTGAACCCCTCTAGCCAGAAGGAGTGTCCGCGTTGGGTCAAAAAGAACCATCCCACCAGCCGAATGTGACTCACCCTTAGTAGCTCCATCCCACATACATACCAAATGAGAATCTCCCATTTGTGATGTAGATTGTACTAACGGGATCGGCGTCCTCGGTACCTGGTCCGATGGTAGGTCCGTCCATTCCTCATATTGCTGATTAAACTGGCGCATGAGTGCCGAGATCCCAAATTGTTTGCCTTCAAAGACTACCCAATTCCGAGATCGCCAGATCCTCCAAAGGATGGCAACAACTGCCATAACCACTGTCGGCTGATGGATCAAACCCAGCAGACGTTTGAGAAACAACGGAAAAGTATGCCGAGGCAAACCCTCCCCCAAGTACTCCAGACCAGAATAATCCCAGAGGGCCCGGGCAACCGGACAATAAAGGAACAGGTGTTCCATTGTCTCTGGGCCATCCCAACAAACTGGACACCGAGGTAGCACCTGGACCTTTTTCTCAATAAGCGCCTCCATCGTCGGCAGAGCCCGATTAAGAATTTGCCAAACAAAAACCTTCAACTTCGGGGGAATCCTCGCCTCCCAAACTCTAATCCAACTCGGCTTATCCATCCAGCTAACCGAGGATCGCCACCCACCCCTCCTCCTGTCCAAATCAACAGCCAAGTGATAGGCCGACTTAACCGAGAAGACCCCGTCGCCCGTAAAATGCCAGAGAAGCTTATCCATCACGTCCCAACAAGGGAGAGGAATCACTTTAATAGCCTTACAGGTAGGTGGGTCAAACCATTGACTGAGCTTCTCATCAGACCACCTCCCTCCTCCCTCACAAATAACCTCCGCCACCAAGGGGTACCCCCCCTCTGGCAGGATCCGCGGATTATAGCTTGGGGGATCAAATTGGCAACTAGGAATCCAATTATCATGAAGGAGGGCGACCGATTGGCCATTCCCAACTTGCCATCTCAAACCCTTCTCCAATAACTGAAGCCCATGCAGAATACTTTGCCACCCCCAAGAGGGACAAGATCTAGCTGTCGCAGTCAGGAAGGACCCCTGAGGGAAATACTTGCATTTATAAATCTGAGCAATAAGTGATTGAGGTTCATTGAGAATACGCCAGCCTATCTTAGCTAACAGAGCTTGATTGAAATGTTCAAACTGGCGAAATCCCATCCCCCCATCATGTTTACTCCTGCACATGTTACGCCAGGACACCCATCTAATTTTGGGAGAACCGTCCTCAGCACCCCACCAGAAGCGGGCCACATGCTTATCTAAAAGACGGCAAAGAGCCAGAGGAAGACGGAAACAAGACATAACATGGAGGGGGAGAGCCAACGCTATGGATTTAATCAATGTTTCCTTAGCCGCCCACGACAATGTCCTTTGTTTCCACCCCTGAAGTCTATCTAGGAGTTTATCCTCCAAATATCTGAACGTAACCATTTTGGATCGAGGAACCAGAGTTGGAAGCCCCAGATATTTATCGTGGACCCCCACTGCACCAACCCCTAGAATCGTGGCCAAGAACTCCTGATCTGGCGTGGAAATATTCTTACTAAAGTACACCGCCGACTTCTCCAAATTAACGCGTTGACCGCTCATTTCCTCATATTCATTCAACTCCTCAATTAAATTCTCACACTCCTGCAGAGAACCTCGCAAAAATAGATAAGAATCATCCGCGAAGAACAGGTGCGAGACCCTTGGAGCACGATGAGCTACTTTCACGCCCTCTAATTTTTTCTCCATAATCGCATTTCGGAGTAGGGCCGCAAACCCTTCCGTGCAGAGTACAAACAGGAGTGGAGAGAGCGGATCCCCATGACGAAGGCCCCTAGAGGCAGAGAAATGATTTATAGCTTTACCTTTTCCTAAATTTTGTAGGACTTGGTGGTTGTGGGCTCGACTGTAGGCTGTGGGCCGAGAATATCCGAAAATATTAATGCCCATAAGTATCTACAGTGTATGGGCCGAGACCACCAGAAAATATAAAGCCTCATGTGCTTTGTAGGGCATTGTGCGTGCATGCAGCGTGGCGCCTTGGACAGCAACAAATACAGGTCTATATCTAACAGAAAGTAACTGGCTAGCTAGCAATGGCGATCCAGAAATAGCAGCCACCCACCAACAATATCGTACTGTAAACATTTTGAAGCATTTCTAAGTAAGGCTAGCTGAACAAGAAGGCATTACGCAATGGTGTTTGGTGTTCCAATTCTCAATTTCTCATGTCAGATATCCACCGCGATTCAGCCATCGATACAAGCATATGCACCAATATCGATAATTTCAGCAGGAAGACTCAACCAAGGGAACTGATTGTCGAATAGACCAAGAAGGCCTGTCACACTTCAGAATTAAAAGGCTTCATAAGATGCAAAAGTGATCCGAGACAATCTGTCTACAGAAATAAAAGCAGAGGGGTGTGTGTGGTGTGACTAGTCTCCTTAAAATTGCAGGTGAAGGAAAGCAAAGGACACATTACTATATCCATGAAGATTCAATGTAAACAAGAAGCTTTCAACTCTAACCTTTATCCCACTTGAGTGCATTCCACACGTTAAAAGGTGAGTAGCAACAGGAGAAGCCAGTCTGAAAGCACACGTATTCAATGATGACGGAATGAGAACATCGAATCCATTAAAACTGTCCCCCGTTGCGGATTGGAGCAGGGTATTGAGTATTCACAACTTAACTGAAAGATCAGCGACGAAAATAACTATAAAGATTGAAACAATGGGATTCAAATCAGGCAGAAATGGTAAGTGCTGTACTCACCTCAAAATAGAACTAAGTTAAGGTATCTGAACTAGTGGACAGATCAGCTTATCTGTCAATCAATCATGTGTATGTCATAAATAAATCATCACCGAAGAACTCATCTGAAAGAAAGTGAAAAGAAACCTCATCTAGCAATGCAGCAAGAGTGTTACATCGAACATAAACCCACTAGCGAGGGAACAAGCTCGATTCATTAAACAGAAAGCTGCTGTCTACTAGCGAGTAATAACCTGCACATTTCATACCAAGCACAGTAACTCGGATTCATTAAACAGAAGCCACTAGCGAGTAAACATTCAACAGCATTTCCAAGATTCTGGTAGGCTTAGGCGTTTCTGCCAAGTATTTTAATATGGTTTTCTCTCACTTAGTATTTGGAAGCTAGTTCTACTCGAAGTCACGCATCAAGATCGATCAAAATATCTGGTTCTTCACAAGAAGATACTTTGAAAAGGTAACTGACAACTCTGTACGGTAGCCTGACGGTTGCCACAATCAAAGACTCCAGTCTCCTAAATGGGGATGACTGCTGTTCCAGAAGCTCACAGTTTTTCTTCAATTCCAGACTAAGCAATTGGGATCCACATACCTTACTACCCTAGCGTCCAGCACCAAGGGAATTGCAAGAGATCACCTCCAAGGCTGCAAATCCAAACAGCTCACGCGGGTAGGGCGGCCAAAATCGCTGAAGACTTGGAGCTGAAACATATGCCGATGATTAGAAAGCTATGATGTATGAACCTTCGACTGCCATGGGAAGCGACATTTTTACCGATTTAGGGTTTGGCGGGGAAAATGGGGTATGGATTGGGAAGTTTGGAACTCAAATTTTGCATTTTTTATCCCCTTTTCCGTTGCTGGGCGATACGAATTACGAACCGGAAAAGCGATCGAAAGAGAAATGCTTTTTGTAGGCTTCGGGGTATGTGGGCTCAACTGTAGGCTATAGGCCGAGAGAATCAGGAAATACAAAAGCCCATGGATTCGTATCAGAGTTCGGGCTTTGATTAGTTTTGGTCGTTTAACATATAAGATTTTGGATTTCATAAGGGCTGTTTGGCAGCGTGTGCGATGTGGTGGTGCAAGGGCTGGGAATCGAGGTCTAGATCGTATTGTATGGTTTGGTCTGAAGTCTGAACTGTAATATCAGAACTATAGTTTATGGTCTCCTCTTTTAGTGTGTGGTCTAAAGTGGTCTGGATAGCGATCTACCACAGTAAACCGTGACAGACCGTGATACACTACCTACTAACTCATACCAAAATAACACTAAATTAAACATCCATTTCTATATTTGAAGAACAAAGTTAGTTGACTATTCATCGAGTTTGGAGCCAACAGATTGCTCAAATGATCGCTTATGCATTATCTTCTTATAAAAAACCACACAAAAACAAGAAATATTCATAAATAATATTTACTAACATTGTCTAGACTACAGAGTCGATAAAAAAGATACACTGGAAAAATTCAATCACAAAGAAAATTATTGAGAGATAAATGATCTTCTTGGTGGTTCAAAACGATCGCGAGAACCTGCAGGATCACCCGAGAGAGGAAGAGAAGCAGTAGCACAAAGAGGAAGAGAGAAACAAGGCTATTTTATATGTGTTTTTAATTGGAAACTGGATAGACCCGTAGAGACTAGAGAGAGTTTGAAAATTGAAAAGTCTTCCTCTCCCCTCATATATTTATTCTCATTTTAATTATGATCACTAAATTATTATTACACTAGCATATTGGTCACTGAAGTTTTTATGTTTATAGATAACGGATGGTTGGAGGACGGAATAAGAGTGAAAAATTTTTAACATGGTCTGCCTGGTATAGACCGTATCGGACCATATTGCACAGACGTGGTCTAATCTGAACAGTATAGGATGTGGTCTGGTCCACAATCTGTGTTCCAATCTCTCGATCTGAACCACAAATCGTGTATATAGTCTGGTCTGGTCCAAACCGCACCGTTTCCCACACACAGTTTCAACTTTCAACAAAGGTAAAAATTGCATGAAGGGACCTGTGAGATCAGCATATTTCTTTTATATAGGCACAATATTTGGAGCTCATAGAAAGCATTCCAACTACCTGCATATATACATGCATCATGCGCTTTGTACCTGGGAGAAAAAAGGGAGTAAGTTAGGCTAGGTTACCTTCTGATCTGTCGCTCTCTTCTAGTATAAATAGCGTTTAATTAGTATAACTGATTTCATATCACTGCTTCTTGAGCAAGTCTTTCTTATTACTCATATCTTTAGTTGCTTTCTCCTATCTATCTAGCTTCTCTCTCAGAATGCATAACCCATCCTTTTCTTTTCTCCAGAAACACTTCTTCCTTCCAAAACACAAGGCGTACAACAATACTCCTTAACGTAGTTGTCTACGGCCGTCATTGCTACTTCACTCATATTGTTGTTGCTACTAGCATGGCCGCAACACGCGGACTACGGTGGTCTATTTGGGCCGGACTGTGCAGCATGGCCTCTCGGATGTCGCTAACATAGTCTACACTGATGCCACAGGCCCGACAACTTGGCAATGAAGGAGAACCTTCGCAGTCAGGTTGGTTGGGTTTGCGGCACCCATGTAGACTATGTAAACGGCAACTGAGGAGAGTGGTGATCATGAATATCAGAATGTTATAGTGTGATGTGGATCGTCTTTGAGAAGTATTTGTGAAAAAGGGAAGAATATGGGTGAGCATTAGAGAAAAGCAGCAACAGAGAGGAATTAAGGAGATGTATAATAAAAAAGTTAAAACATATCACCATACTCCTGGCAAAGATCATACTTTTTTTTTATCCAAGATAAGCCCCAAGGCATGGCCGGACAACAAAATAAAAAACATATAATAATAAAGAACGGTAATCCGTAAGCAACCGGATTCCCGATGAAAGAGCATGTTATGCCACTAGGTGGGCAGCTCTGAGAAAGCTCCAAGGAGCGAAAAGACACGAAACTGACACGAGAGGCAGAAAGAGAGAGAAAAGAAACTTCCCTGAAAGTGGCTCATGCACTGGGAAGAGAATGCTTCCTCGATGTAGGATCCATGTTGATCAGTTGAGAAACCCCGCAATATGTAACAATCAATACATTAAGGGTAAGATACAATCACATAGCCTCACTAAAGACAAGCAATTTGATATGATCATCGATAATACCATAATAGAATTATGAAAGTCAAATGGAATAGTTCCATCACCTGAGAAGCCGACCGAGTCAGTTGCACATCCTTGAAGATTCTTTGTAACAATTGAATAAATCATTTAACGAGACTTGCTTTCCATCATAGGTTGAGGAAATGCTTGATCATAACTTCACAATACTAAATTTTCCTGTACAGATACCAGCTACAAAGGCACCACAAGGTGCTAAAAATCTCTAACTGAAGAGATTAAAATCTGTCAAGAGATATAGTCGGACTTCACCGAAAATTCCACATCAATAATGCGGTTTCAGTCCGAAGAAAGTGAGTTAATTCTGAAAAGTAAAAATATAACTGAGCTTGCTCAAATAAATTAAATAAATAATTAATATTTACCTAATCATTGTTACCGAAAGAGAATTGATGACGAAAACGTATATTAAGGGAATAATAAAAGCTAACAACTAGCAATTAAAATCATAAATGAGATCATTAAGAAAGGAATTAAATTAATTCAAAACATTTCTGTTTCGGAAACTTACCTTTAACGTAATTACCTTATACGGGAGCGATGACGCAAATTCAGCGCGGTCTTCATCAATGGCTTGACTCGCCGGCGATTTCATCAATGACGACTAGGGATGGCAATGGATCGGGTTGGGTCGGGTTTTGCCAAACCCAAACCCAAACCCATGGGTTTATCCGTGAAAAAAACCAAGGGTAAAACCCACTGGGTTTGAAAAACTCAAACTCAAACCCAACCCAACCCGGTGAATAGTGAACGGGTTTAAACCCAAACCCGACCCAAAACCCGTCAACACGAATTTTACCCGCATTGACCGGGTTGGGTTGGGTGGGTACCCGTGGGTTCGGGTTTGGTTGCCAATGACGACCCCCATCGCCGGAACGACGATCCACGAAACTACCGACCGCTCAAGGTTTTACTATACCCGGGTATCATACCTCTCAGAAATTCACGGCGACCATTTTGTTCCCAAAACTTACACAGCTGGTATTTGTGGCCTGAGCAAAGATGTTGCTTATGGAGCTTGCCTCCTCCTTCGCAACCTCAAATTCTAAAGGGAAGAGCCTCAGATATGTAGTCCCTCCTTGTAGTATCAGTCAGAGAGAGATAAGCAAAGGGATCGTGACCGGCGGGGGAACTTCCAATTCGAGCGGTGAGGGGGAAGCGCTAGTTGGCGGCGGCGGAACCGTTGGCAGTGGCCATCATCTTCTCGAACTCCTGGAAATTGACGCATCCGTCGCCGTCGGAATCGACGCCCTTGATCATCCTGGAGCACTCCTCCACGGAGCACTTCATCCCGAGGCGGTTGAGCACCTGGTGGAGCTCGGACCCGGAGATGCGCCCGTCCTTGTTCTCGTCGTACAGGTCGAAGGCCTTTTTAACTATAAGCTCAATTGCCAAAAAAAGAAGTCATCAAGAAAAAAACCAAATATCTATCTCTCTCTCACGCTCTCACCACTAGGATTCCAGTTCAGTTTCTCAGAGAAATCGTCGCTCAATTCCTCGGCAAGCGATTTCGATGAGCTCATCGAAATCGGTCCAATTGAATCGTCCCCTGTTGAGAGGGTCGGATGAGAAGAGGGAGAGGAGTCGAGGCATCGGCGGGGCGACTTCCGCTTCTGAGGAGTAAGCGATTCTTCTGCGGACCGGGAAAACACTCTTTCCGCTTTGATGTATACTCAAAGATCATACTCTTTAGAAGAAACAATATTGGTGAAAAAAAATTAGACTTTCCTCTGCTGACAAACATAGTGAACAATAGTTTTCTACACCACTTTTTCATTTCAGACTTTAATCAAGTGTGTTGATCATCAAAACTACTACAGTCTGAATTTTCCTTTATGAAACTAAAGACAAGCTGAAGAGCTGGTGACTGATAGATACTGATGCTTGCTTATTGTGTAGTATGGGGGCTGAAACGAGAGATCATCTCTTCTGCCAGTGTTCTTATGCCGGAGAGATTCTTTCAACTTTGTTCCCCAATATTATCTGGTCAGGGGATTGGAGCAGCAGGTTGAAGATGATCAGTGACCTTGCTCATGCAAGGAACAGCAGAAGGCAGATTGCTAGGAAGAATTTAGAGATGGTATGTAGCAGTCTTATGGCGTGAAAGGTGCAGCAGGGCTTTTCAAGTCGGAGCTCAAAGTGTAGGGACTAGGGAGGTGATAGATCAGATCAGACAGGATATACATCTTTTTAGCCTGGAAAACAGAGAGTTTGGTCAAGTGCTTGTTGTGTCATGTTTTGCAGCGATAGCTAATAGCGAGGCTGTAAGTGTGGATTAGTGCTAAAGTAGTTAGACTAGAACAAGCCATAATCTACTGCCACTGGATTTGGCTTTCACCATTTCACCTTGTCCTTGGTTATGCTGTTTCTTGTTAGACAAACAATGTTTTTAAACTCAGAAACTTCCTCTGGCTAAAGTTCCTTCAGTTGCAACAGGACATCCCTTTGAAACACTAAACATACAACTGGAGCTTAACATCTGCACATAGTAAGAAAAATGACAAGGGGAGGCCACCTCCAAAAAAGCCACAGCTGAACTGCAATTATCTGCAACTAGCCAACCTGGGAACTAAGGATTAGCTCTCCATAACCAAATGGGCTCTCTTACAACCTAATCATAGATAAATTAATCAACCTTCACGAGTGCTAATTTCAAGAGTGGTATATTATTGTCGGAATAGAGAATATGCTGCAGAG